AAATGATTTGCTTAGGACCCCGGTACATACTCCCTCTAAAGGGTAATTGATCTGTGGTTAGTACTCCTAAGAAGTTTTGTCACCTGTTCAAAAGAGACAATGCTTGTCGTGTCTGATCTTGGAATGAGGCTCTAATATTTTATAAAGAGGTACAGTCAATTGCAGAAAGCTTGGAAACTTTTGCCCGCCAAACTTGGGCAAATTGGCGTGGAATTCTTTCCAAGCTATGTGAAATTGACTGTAAATTGAACAAGGTTGAAACACGGCACAAAGCCTGATAGCTCGCAACCGTGACGGTATCGATGATGTACAGCGAACCAATTGCGAACGCATTGCGAACACAATTAGCGATTGAATCATTTCTTGATTTCCCGCAACTTTCTCCAATCGGGTTTCAAATATCAATGTTGACGCGTACTGACCTAGTTTCTGACTTACAAAACCATCAAACAATAGCTATCATGTTCCTGGCTGGGCGCGTCAGACTTCTACTGAGTTTGACACGCTGGAAGAACGTGTTGCGAGGATGACCTATGAGGCCAGGTGAGTACAATAAGTATAGAGATGGAGCAGAAGAATACTGAGATATGCACTTCCATGACTTTGTCTCAGCTTCGATATCATTGACCAACTCACACCACTTTATCCAATCCCATGCGAACCATATCCCTACTTTGCTACCAACACCACTCACTCTGGTTTGTCTTGGAAAGGAGCAGCATGGGCAAAATACTACGAGATCTGGGCTGTAAGTGATTTTCCTTTTCAAAGTCTAGTCTTAAGTTGAGGTTCCAACGCGTGCATATCATACAGGTGGGAGAAGAAGGTGGAACTTTTGTTCGCGTGGCCACTCATGTGCACGATAACACAAACGCTGGGGAAATGTTTGTAGCACTCAATCCAAGCGCAGGATGCGTCGAAGTTCCCGAACTTCCCACTGTACCAACACGTAGTCAAGCCGGTTGGGTGGACCAAAAGTGGTCCAACGCAGGACAAAAAGTTAGTAGTAAACCAAGGAAAATGAAAAGATCAAAGTCAAAGAAACGAAGTCTGGACGAGCCACCTGCAGTCCTAGCCACGGTCGAAAGGGTGCAAGTCAATCATCCCATACCTCAAGGACCAGGTTGGTATATCGTGAGAGGAGTGAGTGTGGATGGGTATCCGGGAGCCTTTTCAAAACCCACATATATCTCTATCATCGATTAATCAGTCTCTAGAACCTTCAGATGCGTATTGAACTCCTTTAATGTGTTGTATACCTCTTCTTTATTTCACTGTACAGATTTCACTTTGTCGGAATATAATTAATTTCACCCCTCAGCCACGTTGAGATAATTCGTATCATCGCGAGTCAAGGTCGTGAGCGAGAAAGAAACTTCACTTGACTCTTGTCTGCACGCGTTTAAAAGGCAAGGATTTCAATGCTTACTGTAGTCAGAGCCCTGTGACGTGGTCTACCAGCTCAACCAAAAACAAAGTCTCATTTCCTTGGACAATCAGCCAGCTGATCGGAGGATGGCAATGGGTCTACATGGATAATCCATACTAAGAGGGATGGGATTTCCTTCCAAGAATAGCATGTGTGTTGTAACAGCCAAGCACCAACTACAGCTAGTTGGCCTCTCCAAGAATTCTCCAGCACGATAGTAGAGTGGTTTGGAACGGTCATTAGTCTTGGAATATCTGCTAGAGTAGTGCATCAAGAACCAGGGGTGGACTAGAGCTTTCCCTCATGAACCAAGACAGTCGCAGGCTTTGTAGGACTTTGACCCTTGAAGCCATCAGATGGATCTCACACTGTCCTCGATTAGATAAATCAAAGAGTCCCTGAAGTTTAAAAAACATCGATTTATCCTGGTGGCAACATGCTCAGTATCGATACCAAAATCAATTTCTGAGCTGGGAAGCTGGTACATAGTATCAAATTCGGGTTGTGACAAGTTCGTTTAATCAGGAACCTCCAGGCCGTTGTTTCGATGAGGTTAATCAACATGACTACATATCTAGAACAGCGATGATAGAAGAGCTCCAGTGGCGCAAATTATAAGTTGTACATAGCTTTCATAATCCACACGTGAAGGCAATCAGAGCAAGTCGAGGGACTGATTTGATATTATATATTTTCAGCCCATCGTTTCTAGCATAGTTTAATATCTGGCCTTATCCCAAGTATCGTAAACAAGCTCGCAAGCATTTGACCGAGTTATACACTGACTTAGAACTGAGAATTGTCGAGGGTCAGAAATCCAAGTCAGGTACCACACGAATACTGTTGTGAGAGGAGAGAGTGGAAACTCAACTTTATAAACCTGGTCTTGAGTGTACCCAAGTTCTTTCAGGATACCACCCAGCTCTCCCTGGTCTTTACCCTTCTTCGGACCCGAGATGGCACTAACTTGCCCAGGTGGACCACAGACAAAGATCTTCGTGTCCGATCCTAGCTTGGGGGATGGTAGCTTCGATTTGAGCAGGGAGGCTGTCAGGTATCCTTTTAAGTCACTTGACCAACCCTTTGGCGGGTTATCCAAGACAAAATTGATGGAGAACTGATGGGGTTTCTCCTTCTGAAGTTCTGTCAAAGTTACAAATTAGATTTGGACTAAGAGTCCTTTAGAAGATAAAACCGTTACTCACTTTCAAACTCTTCTCGTAGGAGAATATCTTCCTCCTTCTGGTTAGAAAAAAACAGAATCACCTTGGTCTGATCCTCGGGGTTAGATGCGATTTCCTTTCGAGAAAAATATCGTTAGATACCTCCTAGGCTATAAGCAGGGAGGATCAAGATTGCATATGCGTATCGCCTACCTGGATGATCTGCCAGTGTGGCGTGATACCACTCCCACCCGCAATCATTCCTATAGTCTGGTGAAAAAGATCGGCGTAATTATGATTAGAGACCCGTGTCTACTCCACTGATGGGCCCGGAGAAAATTATGAGGTACTTTGAACTCGTTGGCCTTGTAAGCCCATTTGGGAATGGGGCCCTTCATGGATAGCGAATCTCCTGGCTTCAAGCTACCAAGTGATATATGACGATTAAGATGAGCTCGCCAGGTTCAAATCTAGTGTCAGATGAAAGACTGGACCCACTTGTGGATGTGGTTAGTCATCTTGCCTTCGGTATACTTCTTTACGAGCACTATACACAGCCAACGCCATAAAAGATGAGGGTATGGTTGTCATTTATACAAATATCCGTTAGACTCGCGTGCGCTAACTTAACGCAATAGAATTGTAGATGGAATGAGATAGACAAACAGTGTAAAGTGTCATGTTGATCTGGAGGCGTAGTGGGCTGGGTTAAAGGCGGTTGAAAGCGATATATATGATCAAAATTTTGACAACATGTTGATCAGATTGCCCGAAGGCTTACCGTGTAGGGCCTGATGACAAGTTTTCCCTTATCATCCGTACATGCCAATTCACCATCTTTCGCGACTGACTTTGTGATTAAAGCTGACGCGATGGTGAGTCCGGATGGCACATTCTTCGGTAATTCGAAAACGAACGTGGATGTGTTGTGATTGTATGGAATCACTTTCTGCAACTTGAAATCTCGCCATTCTACGAATACCAACAATCAGCGCTTTTCCTTCGAATTGTAAATGTGTCTGATTCCAGCGCCTATAAAAAAATCACCCTCGGGGCTCAGAGCAGCTTGAGATGCAGAGCCAGAACCGGACGTGATACTAGCAAGGGTGTTCTTGGCCTTATCCTCCAGTTGTTTGGCTTCCAAAGGAGAGATGCCTTTGGATTTGAACATCCACTATGAATCGAAGAAGCATAAGATGATGTAATCAGCTTAGTTATCCACAGCGCAAGATAAGCGCCACTCAGGAGATTACGCCCAAAGTCATGATAATCGCACACGAGAGATCATCCATCAACTCACATATCCGGCTCCAAGGCCTACACCGCCCATCGCGATCCATTTGAGTGACCCTGAGCTGGTGACCGTGGTGGGTTTCGAAGAGGCCGTTGAGTAGGCGTGGGTGCCGACCTGACGAATCGTAGACCACACAAACATTGCAAAAAAATGAGTTGAAGTCTGAGGAGATAAGCTGCATCGAAGATTGGCTGGACCTGAGGGGACCTGAGTACAATTCTGTAAACTGTAGTTTCTTCAACTGTAGTTACACTATTAATGTGCCATGGTTCCAAAAATGGCATCCAGCCTCTGAAGGTCAATGGCCGCCCGAAGCAAACGGCTCTTGTTCTTGATGACATACTCTTCAGTCCCAATACAAGGAAAGCTTTGATTTGTTTTGATCTGATCGGGCAAAGAAGGTTGATTAAACTTTAGGGCTTCAACTTGTCAAGCACCTCCTCGTCATAAAAGTCATTGCGACAGTCAGTCACACTTTGCATCCATTTCCCGAGAAATTGCACCCAGAACTCTACAATCGCTTGCCTTAATCTTGAAACTATGCTCCTTCCCTTTTTGTTAAACACTCCTTGGCATGATTCATCAATACATAATGGCTCAAGTGCATCATTTCTAAAAAAAATGAAGGGGAGAAGGACTCAAGATTGAGTTTCGGCTGACGGAGTTCTACATATAACATATGACTGAGGAGAACACAAGGAGTCTGAGAAGATGAAGCGGGAGAAAGACACGTTCACCCTTCATCTGCTCCGCTGAGACGTCATGATTTACAGAGCATGAACATCATCATGAAGTACGCCCCGAAGTACACTCGTAATCTAGCGCGGATTTTGACACATCTGAGCCTATCAGAACAGTAGAGCAAAGTTAAACTTCCCGACGAAGCGTCAAGCAAATGTGAAGAAAACTCACCAATTGCTTCAAGATCAGCAAGATCGTAGTGCGTCTATGTACGTCAGAGCTGAAACGGATCCGAAGGTCTCCGCCGTCGTGAATCATGAACTGCGTGTTGGTCCATTGTACCAGCGAGAATTTGAGAGCACATAGTTTTTCTCACTGCCCACATCAATATCGCCGCACGACCCCCAAGTGAGCTCAGAGCTAATGTGGTTTCTCCCCATTTCTACGTCTTGGTGATGCGGCTTCTAAGGAAATTTTGACGCTATTCCTTTTCGCATTTTACGCGTCACAGAAGATACCCCGAACAATGGTCTGGTCATGTTACCACATTTGATTAATATCAAAATGGGCGACTGATAACTCCACCATCTCCCGAGCTTAAACATTGTTTCTATTAAGAGATGAATATCGGTTGTATCCGACTTCTATGCCTCTCTCAACATGCATTCAGAGATGACCTTAAAATTCTTCAAAGGCTCATTCGCCCAAAATATCTATCGTCTATTGAAATCAGTATGTCTAGGTTATTTGGTGCAATCCTCAGCTCTTCCGCACCTTAAAAATCTCACTAGCTCAGAGCCAGAGAATATACTTTGCGACAAACGCTTGCACTCTCCACTTTCTACCTCGGACTCGGATTCAAGGAAAGCCTCAAATCGATCAAATGCAACCAGCACCGATCTACTTGAAGAGTGTAGAAGTCTTCCTTTGAGCCCCCATCTGTGGCAGGAATTGGGATTGAATGAATTCCTTTTGAATTATCCCGGTGGGGAATTTCTGAATCTTCAGGTAGATGGAAATCTAGTAAAGTCCACTTCCGTTTCGCCAATACCAAAAGCTGAACGGATTGAAGATCTTTTGTCACCCCTTTTACCTTTGGGATTATAAGCAGTTAGCAGACCGCGTCAACTTGACCAATTTTGAATGTGGTATCGGGAAACCGTGCTATGCAGATCAGGTGAGACTTCTCAAAGAATTAGTGCTATAGATTCTTCATATTTTCCAAAATGGTTCTTGATACCCAAAAGCTCTGCCAACCCGTTCGAGGCAAAGAATGGTATGTTTTGGTGGCCTCTCAAAAATGGATGGCTTTTATGAATGAGATATATGACACCATCAGTTTGGTTGCAACAATGATGCAAGGCGGGTTTGTCTGGTCGACATTTATTCATCTTAATCTAGTGACACTTACTTATCCCTTACATTTTAGGTGTCGCCCCGTCAATGGTGAGTGAGTTGTTTGGTCTTGAATACTTTAAAACTTTGAAAGCTGATAGGCTCGATTAAATATAAGCTTTCGGACTTCTATCCTGACTCGACACACCTTTGGGATATCCTAAAGGCTTATTCTAGTCTGATATCGGCCGCGATTAAGGTTTATCCGACCTGTGGTTTATTAAGTTCCACAAGGTACTGGTATCAATTTATTCAGGGAGAGTTTGGAATGCTTTATGGAATTTCGGGGATGATGGATGATGTGTTGTTCAAGAAGCACGTAAACCAAAATACCAAGGTCAACTTTGCATTTAGCTTACTATTACTTTGTGAACACTTAAAATTGGATACTTTATCTAATGAAAACTTGGATATCGATCTTTGAAATTTTTTTAGTGGAATTGTCTTTCCTACAAGATATCTGAGAAACAACAGTTGGCACAAATGGCCGTCGCTAATATCTCACACTCCACAATCGAATCAGGAATCAGCACTATAAAAGGAATTTACAGAGTCTTGAAGGACGGGAGGTTCTTGGTTGATGACATTGAAGGCAAATTCTACTCCAAAAACCCGATGAAGAACCTGATAGGAGATAAGCAAGAGGAGATGAGACTTTCAGCTCAATTGCAAATCTTGGCAGCATTATGGATTGAACAGGTAAGATAATAGTATGCCTTTAACAAGTTTCATTTGGACAAAAGTTACCTCTTTTTGCTGGGTTTGCTCGCTGATGTGCGGGTCTTTTGAACAAAAAACGGCGTCAGAATGTGTTCATAACAAGAGGCGAAGTCAGGACACATCACTATTTCATTATGACTAACTCTCAACTGACAATTTGTTTTCATAAACTTCCCAGCATCCTTGCATGGACTCTGGACTGAATGGTGCATGGCCTGGAGGAAATGTGTTATCTTATTGTGGACCAGATGACATGTTAGTTGCGCCATTGAGCTTGATAAATTTATCTGATTCAAGGCCCTTCAAATATGCTTGACTATACTTGCAATTTGATCATATGTCATCTTCACATCTCTGAATGTGTATTTTGATAAACTTTGAAGTATGATGAATATTGTTCAGGCAGATGGGAATCAAGAAATAAGAAAGGTTCACAATGCACATCTCATCAGTCAAAAATACAATCTTTCTGTTGGATACTTGACTCAGGTGGCATGGGAATGTTACAAAAGTGGCAAGCAATCTGACTATGGTTCATGGGAAAGGTGGGTGTAGTTTGTCACCATTGCTAAGGAAATGTATGGAGTAATAACCTTGTGATTTTGATGATATGCAGTTGGGGCCGGGTCTCAGAAGAATCAGATTATCCATGTAGCTTTAATTTGCCGGTATGTGATCTCACTAGGCCAGGTAAGGCTCTCCACCATTTTTTTGCAAACTATGTATTGTATATGACTAACGTGTTGAAATAGACATTCAACAACACAAAAATAGAAGAGGAATAGTTGTAGCATGTAGAATCACCGGACAGCTTCCAATTTGAAAGATCAAAGGGGCCTTCCTTCAGCTTCTGTCTTTTTGTCATCAATGGTAGTATCCACAGTTACAGTCCCTATTCTTTCTCTCCCTAAAGCTGAGATCTCCATCAAGTTTTCCATTGTATACCTGAATGAGTCTTTCATGTATGTGTAACCCTTTGCTTTAATCACCTCCTAAGGCCAGTCAGATATGTTTCAAACCCTTGATAGCTCTTATATGCACTTTTTCTATCAAAAATCCAACAATCATCAAATATCTCTGCCCTCAATGTTGGTTCTTCCTTCATTTTTTCATATTTTTATGGCAATTGACAAAGCACACCAACTTGAAAGCAGGTTTGAAGCCGGTTTTGTGTAGACCAGATTACTTCTGAAGATGTACAGGTGATGAAACAGAGAACTATTTCTACAGCCTTCAGACTATTTCTGAAGCCGGTCCCCAACAGACTTGATGACCACCTCCATGTTCTGTATTACAGCTATCATACCATGAGTTAACATGGATGGTCACCACCAGCTGTGGGACTGGTCCCAAAGAGACTTGCTTCAACAAAGAAAAACTACCAGCTGGATAAATAACACCATAGGCTAGGTACCTGAGGCCTTGAATCTTTGCCTGTGGAGGGGGCCTTCAAGAGTACATAGGTCAGCCTGTGTACTTGTTGGAACACCCAACATCTGGGGCAGCCCACATGGCCGCTGTGTAGGCTGAGTACCTAAGGCACTAAGGTAGCTTGCCTGAGGTCTTAGGTACTCAAAACAGCCTCTGCTGTGCCTAAGCAGGGGTTGCAGATACCTAGCCTGTGTCCAGTCCCGAATCTCAATCATCAAGAAAAAAATATATAAATATGCTTCAGATTACCTTGGGAATATATAGAAAAATTAAGCTCCCCCATCTGCTTCTACCCATCTAGTTATCTCTTTGGAATATTGGTATTAATGTTTCTATTCTTGAGCTCAAAGACAAAGTTTTTGGCAGGGGTGAGTGTAGTACAGAGTAGCCTTTAGCAACTGTATGAGCAAGAAATCTGTTCATCTCACACCACAGGAATCATTATGATTGAAACCCAATTGAGCAAAGCTGTGGTGTCCAAGTCTGCCATAAGTCTCAATTTTTGGATTGAAATCTATCAAAGGCAAGGGGGGACCTTGGATTTTAATAGGTTTCAATCCATATTTGAGACTTATTGTGAACTCTGTCACCACATGAAGTTTCACATATGATTGAACTTAATAGAGGCCTGTGGTGTCATTTCATCTCAGTTCATCTGATATTACAGTACATTTACATATACATGCACCACAAGGTCACTGTAAAATATGATCAACCAGAGCTTGGCCACGGTTGATCAACCATTTTTGGCTGGTGAGCTTGGTTACCTGAACAAAAGGGTCCTAACAGGGTCAAAACACTTTTTTTGAGAAACAGTTTTTCAACTGCTTCAGAACAGTGAAAACCCTGAGTCTCAACTGGAAGAACATCTGATACTCAAAACCAAATTGTGCTGGCTCAGAGTAGCTTTTTCAGTTCTAGAACCATTTTGAAGCAGTTGGAAATATGTTTCTTCAATTGCAAATAAGGACTACAAAACTTGTGTATTAATTGCATAAAGTATTTGACAAACTGCAATTACATTCAGACAGCTTGCAAATATATGGATAAATAATATAGAAGGATGAAAAAGTAAGATACCAATATTCTCTGCAATTGGGGAAAAAGAGATTCAGACAATGAGAGAAAATAGACAATACAGATCTGAATAACAAGAAATACAGAGTCAAAATAATCTTGAATCCAACACACTGAAAAAGTAACATTGGTAAAATCCCTACAGTGACTATCAAGATCAATTTAATAATCAATTCATAATCCACAGTGAAGAAAGAAATCATTGTATAGCTATAGGAATTGGATCAATGACTTGCTAAGATGATAATCCTGAACCCAAACTAAAATTTCTTCACCTTGAATAACATCTTCTTCAATATCTTCATGTACTTCTTCAGCAAAAATCAAATTAGCTGCTTTAGAGCATCCACAGTCGTTGGGCCCCAAATTGAGCAAACCCAATTTTAGTGTGGGCCTGAACCATTCAGGATGCAATGGTGTGGGCTCCAAATTGGTACAGAGTATGGGTTACATGCACTCTGAGGTGTAGTATGGGTGTGTTTACACATGTGAAGTATGTGGTGAGTGCGGCAATTTGGGGCTTGCCGCTATTGTTGTCAGATTTGACAACCAAGGGTCAAAATTTGGAGTCGGCCCAACATATATTTAGCAATAGGGCCCGCCACTTCAGCAAAAATTCAGGGCCCTAGTACTATATTTGGTGATAGACCCAATGTGGGGGTTGCCACTGTGGATGCTCTTATATGCTCCTCAAATTGATTCATCAAATTTCATTTCTCCAGGATGATAATCAAAAGTGGCCATAAAATCAACTTTGAACATCCATTACTGAATTCAAAAGAAACTTAAAAAGAAGGGTAAGAGTTAGTTAAATTGATAAGGAAAGTTTTGAGGAATTCTTTGATGAGGGAAAAAGAAAAAGATTCCTAAACTGTGTTTGAAAACAATGATGGTGCTTCTGGATAGCAAAGTGATATGGTATCTAATCATAGTGCAAGATTGCTGTGCTTGTAAAGATTTTATTTATAGCACATCAGAGCAGAGCACGGTGGCGTCATTCAAGGCAAAAAAACCTGTGTTACTACTAATATTGATTTTAATACAGCCTGAGTACCCCCTCATGAATGGCCAACAAGGGGCCCCAAGGTTGACTTAGCCTTGGGTTGGTGCCTTCTTCATACAGTGTATGGTACTTCCTTGATGGCCAGATATAACTTTTACATATCATGGAATCAACAACATACATGTATCAATGGCCAGGCAGGGGCCTCAAAAGGCAATCTAAAAACCCGCGATTTTGACAAGTGATACATGGAGATTGAGACACAGAAGAGACACAAGAATACATTTTGATTGAGCCATGGGATCCCGGTTGTCATAGAGCATCTTAGTGAAGGTGACCTACATGGTGATGCCAACACTCAGCCAAGTAGGATTGTTATAAATGTTTGTCATCAGTTTTTCACACACAAAGTATGAATATCTAGTCATACTAACAATAGTAAGATCAGTACCAAAACCAGAGAGCGAAGCCCCACTGGTGCACAATTGACTCAAGATGATAATTTACCAATATCCAGCTCCAATCTTTCAAGGGGATCATAATGCTGCAAGAAACCTCATGCTCAAGCCTAAGGTGCTGTCAAACTCTCCCCGTCACATTTGGTGAAGATCAAAGGGCTACTCTCATGAGTTTAGCTGCTTATAGCAAGGGAATATGATGTGATTGAGTAGGTCATCCTTCAAGTTTAGAGCCACAAAAACAAAACCCCAAAGGAACATCTAATGTCTGTGTCAAAGAGATTATCCTACTGCACCAAAGACACGGACTATACAAGGCGCACGAGACGAGTGAAGGTTCCAGCTTGTGACAGATGACTGCGGTTCACCCGACATCACGCCACGCAATCGAAAGCCATATACATACGTATGACATCTCAATGACATCTTGTTCATCCTCTCCTCTATGAGATCGAACCTGGTCACCAGTCTAGACCATAATCAGCAAAGAGAATAAGGTGGGTTCTCGAAGCCAAATCTACGATCTGACATGTCCTTTCAACTGATTTCTGATTATTTTACTGTGTGCCGCATATTCTAATTTAGGAACCTTGAAATAGATTGATCTTGACAGACGCAACGAATCGCAGTCATGGACCTGGAGTTGATCCCGATCTACCTAATCACGTCGATCCCCTTCTTCCTCATCGTCTACTTGCTCCTAAAACTCTACAACTCTCACCAGCTCAAGCAAAAGAAACTTAGTCAAGGTATTGGAAGAGGGGTTGCAGGATTTCAAACTGGCGTCAGAAGGGTGGCAGTACCTCAGGAAATCTTAGACCGGATTCGACGCGGGGAAGAGGTTAGTGCTGAGGAAATCACCAGAGCACAGGAAAAGATGGCCACGAAGTCACGAGATCAGAGTAGTGCCGGCAGTGATGATGATGCCAACAGAAAATCTAAAACAAAACCAACATCGAAAGTAGACGAAGATTGGCTCCCTCCCTCTAGCACGAGGCGATCGAAGAATTCGGTTGCTCCGCGCAAGGCTCATGCCAAGTGATATAAATCAAATCTCCTACTTTGTGAAGCATAGACATATGTTCATTTCAATACAATCAGATTTTCAGAATACCTGCTACATCGGTCGTGGAGGCTCTGTGGTCATTCTATTATTGTCAGATCGCTTGGGGCAGTCATTGCTTCTTACTAGGCTTCAACGGCATCTATCGGAAGGTCAGTCAACACGACTTAAGATAACAGAAATGCAGCGACTCAGCGTCTTCGAAAGAGTCGAACAATTAGTCGAGAATATGAGAGTTGACAGTACTCCCCTGAATGGCGCTTGGAAGTCAAAAGGTAGCTGAGATTGACAAGAGCACAAGATACTGATCATGATCGTCAGGGTGGTATCGTACTTTTGAAGGTTTGACTACTTCCCAAAGGTTTGTACTCAGTTAGGGAATGTGCATCTTAGACATTCAGAAAGGTTCAGGCTGGACCATGACGTAAAACAATTCTGCCCAAGTTTCATCTGGTTGATGATGTCCTAATGAGATAAAGACAGTCTAATAAGAACATATCTAGACGTAGAGTCATGTCAGAAAATTTGGTCAAAATCAATTTTGCTTTTGAGAAGACAGTCCATCTTGCGAAACCAGCCTGGTATCCCTACTGGCTGAGATTTTGTCTATTGAATGTGTTTGTATGTATGTGAGGAGTCAGCTACTGTTGGGCTGACTGTTCACTAAAAAAGGTGAAGAGTAGTCCATGAGGAAGTCTTCACTTGACGCCCAAGTGAAGACTCCAGTTGGGTGACCTCTAAGAAGAGGATTTGATGCCAGTGGGGTGGCTGAGTAATCCCTCAAAGGATCTTACTCTGAGTTCTGGTTTGAAGTGCACTCTCAGAGCCAGCAGAACTTTACACTTTGATTACTCAAAGGCTCTGCCGGATCCTTTACACTCAATCTCAGGAGGTATCCTATGCAATTCTAAAGCTTGATTCTATAGCTATTGCCACTAGCTTAGAACCACCACTTTAAAGCTTACAAGGGCTTGAGGAAGGTTGTAGAACTGTAAGATCAATTACAAAAAGATCACTTTACTCAATCTTGGTAAGAATCAAGTCAGTTGTGATGTGTAATTGTGGAATGATATCAAGTTGGTTTCTCTTCCAAAGCGGGAAGAGGAGGGGTTTATATATCCCAAGACATAGATGTCAACTTGTGGTTGGCGCTTAGGTTTGATTGTCCTTGGGTTAGGGTTTAACTTTACTATCTAGATTATAGGTAAGTATTATTACTTTGAGCATCCACAGCCGTGCCATAAATGTGGATTGTACGAAGGGCCGCAGGTATCATTCAGGGAACCATTTGAAGCATGAATTTTGACCAATGCCATACAATACAGCTTGAAGCATATGTTGCAAGGTGAGTTATGGGTTATTGATCATCAAGGGAGATAATTTGCAGGGAGTGTGGTCACAAAAGTGGGAGTTTATGGGAGAAGCAAGGTACAGATGAATTTAGGGAGTGAGCCTAGATAGAACAAATTTCTTCTATTTTGGCTTGCACGGTGGAAATTCCCTTAGCTATGTGAAAATTTAGGGCATCACCTGTGGGTTATTTTGCCCTGAATTTCCGTACAACACTGTTTAGGCCACACATCTGTAGATGCTCTTAAGTGACTCTTGATACTGAGCCATGAGTTGTAATCATTATGGTTTAAGACAAGCTACATATATTTACATATGTATTACATATATCTACATGTGTTTCTTAGTCTGTGGTAGGGCTATGACCTGGCCCCGGCCCCAGGGCACTGCCCGGCCCTGGAAAGGCCTGGCTGCATCTTCAAGCAGACCAGGGCCCGTATTGGGCCTGTATTGAAGGGATGGGACCAAAAATTTCAGGGCTGGCGCCTTGAGGGCCTGGGCCCCTGGCGGGGCTCCTGGACTCTGTAGGGCAAGCAATCTTAGTTGACCTGGGGTGTGTACTGCTTGCCTCCAAGAAGTCATCAGGCAGGTTTGGGTGGTTGGGCCAGGGCCGGGTCATTGTCATGAATAAGCGTACTTATTGAACAAGCTACAAAGTACTAGATTTACTATTAATAGTAGTAAAGTAGTGGAATACTTGGAAACTAAATAACAAAACAACTCACGCGGAGCAAACAACCAACCTGAGGGCTTTCAAAGGACAAGGGTTTTAAAGAGCAAAGATGTTGACTGGGACACAGTGGTAACTTTGTAAATAAAGGGACTAAATAATTGATTGGTTATATTAGAAGATGAAGAAAAAGAGAGAAATAAAGAGGAAACAATAGGCATTTATATACCCTAAAACTAGCCAAGAGAGCGGAAAAGCAGACATTACAAATTATTCAAATATTAATAATGAATTTAGTGGAAAACCAGGTACACATCATTATTACTAAAGTGCCAATTCTTCTTTTAGATATTATTACACGCACACCCAAGTCTCATTACAAATATAGTGTAATCACTTGCCCATTTGGTTCAGGTCATACCAGACCATTGGATCAGTGTTTCCCAGGCTCCAGATCCAGTCTGGCTTTGAGTTTACTGGACGCTGTGTTGGGTCATCACTCCAATCTTTTGTCTAAACTGGGAATTCCTTCACCTCCTGAACTCATGACATTACTAATTTGTGCTGAGCCCTTACATCATTAATTGATATATTAGTAATGTCTGTATGAGAAAAGAAACTGAAATTGAATCATAGAAAAATAAAATTGATTTGAAAAATAAAAGAAAGAATTAATTGAAAGTATTAAAAAAGAATGTATTTGTTGAAAAGTAAAATTAGTAACTCTTATAAGTTAAGTTCCTTATAATTGTGATTTTACTTAATCTTATGTTAGCCAGGAGATAGGTACATCTGTACTTATGCCCTGGCTGACAGTCATAGCCCTAGTTTGTGGTACTGTACACAGAGCTCAGGACTGACAATCTACCTGTTGTGCCATCTTGTTGAATGATGAATTGAACAATGGTTATTGAAACAAGTCACTGACGGTACCAATTTGGGGTGTCATATGGAACGATCTCAGCGCATAGCCTTCAAACTTCTCACCATGTAAATATCCGTGTGGCACGTCGACGTGCACACACCGAGAGTTTTGAAATAAATCTCCAAGTCTTTTGGTCGAATTTAGACTGAGATTGTTGTTGAGCACCCTTTGTGCTTCGTGATTTGTTCAAAGGATTTGCAGAATCCTTTGTTGTCAGCAGGGGTCAACTGACTTTCAACCTCCCAGGTCATAAGGGGAAGATGTGCTTGTTGTGGCACCTCTTTGATGGGTTGTTACAGGGTTTAAGGAAAGTCTTTTGTGTGTGCACGTCGACGTGCTACAAGGATATTTACATGGTGTCTACCATTGATTTATTGTTGGAAACTTCACTTGATTCATATACTGAGATGAGGTTTTCCAGTTTTTCCGCCACTTCTTTGGCTGCATCATAGTCAAAAGAATCATCTTCACTCATTTATGATTGAGAGAAATTGATACAAAATTAAATAATAAACTCTTTAATAGAAAATATACTCTTATAAAGTGATGATATGATATGTTCAACAGAAGTAAACACTATGGGAAAGTTGAGAACAATTGTGGTAAACAGCTATGATATCATAGCTGTAAAACAAAGAGATATGGTGAACAGACCTACCCGTCAGCACCAATACACATGTAATAGCTTCCAACTTTCCCATTCCACTTTGTTAATAACAAGTTACCAACACCAAGTAAATCCTTGAAGATTGTTTCCAAGCACAGAAGCTCTTGGCCGGCCTCAACTACTGCTTTGTACTCAGCTTCAGTTGTTGAGAGTGAGACCAAGGCTGTCACTATACTATACTATACTATACTTCACTATACTTAGTATAGTATAGAGTCCAACTATACTGAATTGATCTATACTTAGTATAGTATAGATGAACTATACTCAGATATACTATACTATACTGTGCAGTATAGTTGGACAAGTTGATTAAAAACATGCATAACCCTTTGTCAGGTACAGTTGATGAAAAGATACTATACTGAGTATAGTTGCAACTATACTATACCCAGTAAAGTATAGTATAGTTTAAATATACTATACCCAACTATACCTAAACTAGTATAGTATAGTGGCACCCTTGGTGAGACCACTGGCTGCTTTTTGGTTTGCCAGCTGATGGTTCCTCCAAAAAGCATAAATAAGTAGCCCAAAGTTGAGCGTTGAGAGTCAGAGCAGCCAGCCCAGTTGATGTCCACAAAGCTTTCTGGTAGGTAGAAAGCAAGAGAACCATTTGCATGATTGGGCAAGCTGTAGGTCAAGCAATAGGATGAGGTGACATGGAAGTAGCGCAGCATCCTATGAAAGGCTGCCCAATGTGCAGTACCTGGGTTCTTGAGATGCTGGGACAACTGCAAGCAGACAGACACCAGTTCGGGCCAAGTACACTGAACTAAATAATTCACCAATCCAATGGCTTGGCAATAGTTTGATCCTTTTGCAATGAAATTGTTGATGGAGGATCTGGTTGGTTTAGTTAAACAGGTGTTGGGAACCATTGGAGTGGCAACGGGGATACAATTTGACATTGCATAAATAATCCAAAGTTTTTTGACATAATGTTCTTGGGAAATACAGATGATGCAAAGAGCAAAATTGCAAGTGATATTCATCCCTAAGACAGCGGTAGCATGGCCAAGATCCTCCATCTCAAATTTTTGAGAGATCAAGTATTTGAATGAAGCTATGCCAGCTTTACTTCCAGTAATCATCATGCAATCAACATGAATGTGCATGTAGCCAGGCTTGGAATCATACAGACTGATGAAGACGCAGGAATTGGCTAAAGAAGCTCAGAAGTTGATCAAAGTGAAGATGGACACAAGTTTTGGAGACCAACACCTTGGCAACTGCTTCAGTCTGTACGGGTATTTACTGAGTCAAAGAACAGTCTTTGCAGTACAATTCATGACATTCAGACCTTGAGGGACTCAGAGGAAGATTACCTCACTTGGTACATCATTGAGAAATGTGGCCACAGCGTCCATTCACTCAACCTTAAAATCATTGACAACCGCAACACCCAAGAAAACACATAGTGTTGACTTACAGCCGGTAGGAGCATAAGTCTTGTGGTAGTCAATGTTTTGAACTTAAGAGAAACCTTCAGTGCAGAGTTGTGCTTTAAACTTAAGGAAATGTCAGCCTAGAGAGTATTACACACTCCTAAGGATGTCAAACTACACCATGTCCTTGTGGCAGTCGCCCGACGACGAGCGCACACAAACTCCCATTGAGGCACAAAGGCGACTCGTGTGCGCTTGTTGATGAGCAAACACCACACGGGCATGGTGCTAAGTATAAAAACAATAAACTACTATGAAAAATATACATATATATATAAAACCTTTTTACATTTCTGACTAGCTTCGAAGGAACTCTGTAAACAAGCCCCTTCAAACAAGAACCTACATCTCCAACTCAAGTTTCAATATCTTCAAACACAAGTCAGGAAGAACCAGCTAAAACGACTTGAACAAACAAGTCCTAGATCGGATACCCTGCCCAAGAAAAACCATCATCAACTAGCCCAAAAAGAATCAGTCAAACGTGGCGTATCAAGGGCTACAATTGGAAACCCTGGAATGGCGCAGTGATGACCACATAGTTAATTACAGAACTGGACTGGTTCACGAATTGAACCCTGAACTATAGTCAAGACCAAGGAACCAAGAACTGGGCTCTAACAAAACAAAATATTCCTCTAAAAATTGATATAAAGGAACAAACTATTTCGTATCAACAAAGAAAAATCATCTTATACTTTACCCAACAAAAAAACCCAACTTTTAGATACTTTTCTAAATCTATAACAGTCCTAAAAACCCAGCCAATTACTTTTAAATTAGAATATGTGTCTTTACTCCAGTAAACCCACTTTTTTCTACTTTCTTAGCTTACAAAGTGTTTTTCACATTGTTATTGGTTTAATCAGATATCTACTAGCTAGTTGGTGAACCACTATCAAGATCACGAATTAAATACTGAAAACCTCAAAACTGTTACTTGTCTAAGATAGTTCTCAGATCTTTTTTATTGAAGGGATAAAGCTAGCCTTTACCCTTCCTTTAAGAAGTAGATCTTAAGACCTGCCCTGGAATAGGAGTACCTTGTACCCATTTGTAGAAGACCTCAGATACTAACTAATTCTGTGAGTACTACCAATTTTGTCAAGTTCTTTAAACTAAATACAAAAAACTAACTTTGGGCTCGAATTTCCCTCAACAGAGATTTATCAAATTTGCTGAAACAAAGCCCACCCTAACTGCCCAATTCCGGATTTGAGTAAGAAAATTCAGTCTAGAGTTTGTAAAAGGCATCTCCTTTTAGACTTCAGCTGACAGGAAACATCCATTGGCATTGATCTTGATCTTATAAGCCCAAGTAGTTGCAATGTCAGTACAATCATCAGGGAGTTCTACCACCAACCACATGTACTGATGCTTCATATTAGCTAGTTCAGTAGCCATGGCTGCAGACCATTCATTGGCTAATGGACCACATAGAGCACAGGTCAAAGTTTTTGGAGAAGAGGGGCTGTTAGTTTGGATCAATTTTGCATGACATCAGTGAGTCACAATAATGTTGTTGGTGTCAATAGAGGGATAGATGTTACGCGGAGCCACAGGAGAAGCGTCCTAGTAGAACCAGTGAGCATTCTCAGGAGGCAGAGGAGAGTGAATGGATCCAAGGTTATCAACCTGACCGCTTACATCACCAAGAGTGTCCATGGGATGATAATCAGCCAGGGAGTTGTCATTGGCAGAAGAGGGTGCAGCTGTGTTGTCGCTATCTGGCTAGGCAGAAGAGGCAGAGTTGTTGGTGAGCTCATTGGCAAATGAATCAGCACTATTGGGTGGAGAAAGGCCAGGAAGCCGGATATTAAATAAGGATTTGTCTTCTGATTGAGAAAGGCCATGCATGGGAGTGTCATCCTGGGACAATGAAACAATAGACTGGGAAGGCAAGATATTTGACATGTTGGTGTCAGGTGGCATGCAAGAAATGGATGAAGAGTCTTCCAGCAAAGGGTTAGAGGAAGAGGGGCAAGGGAGTTTTGAGAGACAAGATCAAGAAAAATCAGATTCATAAAATAATATGTCATGAGAGTAGATGACTTTATTGTGCTTGTAATCCCATGGGCAATGATTGTGAAATCTTTCCTGATAGAAATCACAGGAAGCTCCAGGTGAAGAGACCTTCCTACTTGGACTGGATTGAGGGTCAATGAAAGGCTGACCTACTGACAAAATCAGTAACTTTTGAGTTTTTTAGGGTCAAAATTGATTTTTATGACTTTGTACCTACCAACAGGACAAGTATGTTTTTATTTTTCTTGAAAACCTTTTCTCTAGATGTATCAACATCAGAGGAATTGAAACCTCCTTTGGAGTCAAACTTAGTATCATTTGGTATGTGATATAAGGCCAAAAGATGCAATATCACATTAACAGTGGTAAAGTTGCTGTCCATTTGCTGGAAACCGGTTTCTGTCCTTGCAGATGTGCCATCCAGATGGGAATGGATGGCTCACAAAGGATTTTTTCAAGTTTCTTGTACAAAAACCTACTAACATGACCAGAATTGTCTCAGTACAAATTTTGGTTTTTTACTGCTTCATATGGTATTCAAAAGGGTGTTCTTGATAGTTTTAGGATGGGTTCTTCACCTGGTGCTTTCTGTCAACAAAAAGACTTATTGAACAAGAAAGTATACATGAGTAACAAGTAATATTGTGCTAGATTGTTGAAGTAACTATGAACTTTATAAAATAACAAATGTTAACAATAACAAAAGGATTCAATCCAAACTTCAAGCGTGGAGATTGCTATCCAGGGGGGTTTTAACCAGAGTGGTTCAACGGCAACTGGAATAAAATGGGCACTGATTATAGAAGTTTGAGTGAAAACTTGTTGATTGGATTATTGGTAATAGTAAGAGATGAAGAACAAAAAGAAAGTAGAAAAATAACCAGGTTTTATACCTATTCCAACTCTAAAAGTGCACACAAATATTTGTAATATTATTAATTGTTTTACATACATATGACAAGCCCTTCAGGAATTCCGCTGTCATGACTAATTTGTTTAATTCAAATCAAGCTTTTCCTTGAACCCACTAATTCCCCCTTTCAGAGCATTGCCACTGGGGCGTGCAAAATCCCAAATAAAGGCTGTTTTCATGTCTCATGGGAAAATATTCAAGCCACCAGATTGTGGAAGCAGCCTGTATGGGTTACGCGACATCCAAATCTTGACCGGGAGAGTCCAAATTGGAAGGCGTACAAAAAGGCAAAGATCACCAAAATCTGAATTATTGTCTGACCTTCCCTGTCATTTTGGACAAGACAAATGATCCTGTGCTTGGGTCCAAGGCATATAATGTTTTCACCTGGCAGCTTTTACACGGCCGCGGTTTTGCCTGCCTCTGCGCAAATCTGGCATACAGGCTGAGACCTGTCAAAAGGTCATTGTACAGAGTACTTTTTTATACACCAGCGGTGGAGATGCTCTCAAGCGTCATCCAATAACTAATTTAATCATTCACCCAATCCAGTTATACAAATTCCCAGACCGTCAGACAAAAATCCCCTTATGTTGGGAGCTGGCAGGTTTTAGATGTATTAAGACTCAAGTTGGGTCATCACTCCAAATCCAGAATCATTGCTGGAAACTCATACTTCCTTCAGGAGTTTATAATTTCATGAATTAATTTAGAACCACTTTCACAAGACTCCTGATTATTGATTACAATTATAAAAAGAATGTATAGAACTTAAACAATGTATGAATTCAAAAGAATTATGAAATATTATGAAAGAGGAAGAATGTTACTCGAGTATGAGCATTCTTGTGTTCTTATGTGTTCACATGTGGTTTTTATGTCTTTGTATGTTAGCCAGGAGATAGGTTACTCATGCCCTGGCTGACACTGTTCATGTAGTGCAAGCCGTAAATTTAACAAAGTCCCACGCTCGCGCATCCTCGCGAGGTGTCGAGCGAGAGACTTACGCCAAATGTGTACGCTCCAAAACCTCAGAGATTTGGGTTTGGCAGGGAGCTTGCTTCAAGTCCTTATACCTTTTTCCACACTGAGGATTTGGATATAGTCCAAAGAGAGAACTTGTGCGCCAATATCTTGCGCTGAGACTACAATTTTTTTTCCCGAGGAAGTTAATCCCTTCTTTCCAAAAATGTGCTTCAAAGATTGGGTCTTAGCAGCAAATTTGGTATTTGATGCACATTTTAGGCAAGAGGGAAGCACTTTCCTCAGGAAAAAAATATGTTCATTATGCGGAAGAGGCAGGCACTCAACTTTTTCCTTTGGACTATACCCAATCCTCGGTGTGGAAAAAGGTATAAGGCCTTGAAGCAAGCTCCCTGCCAAACCCAAATCTCTGAGGTTATGGAGCGTACACATTTGGCGTAAGTCCCCGCTCGACGCCTCGCGAGGATGCGCGAGCGTGGGACCCTGTTAAGTTTATGCATGCCGGGGTCACGCTCACACCCGGTGCCACGAAGCCACGAGGCGCCCTGGAGTGGCCCATGGCAAGGGCCAGGGCTTAGGCCACGCATGGCCCTCACCGGGAACACCTGGCTTTCGGGAGGACCCTGACAGTAGTGTCAGAACCGTGACACTCACACATTTCAGCCAGATGTCTTTGCTCCGTGATAGCTCATTGGCCGGCTTTCACACCCCTATACTTTACGACACACCCACGCTGAAATCCCCCTATCACATTTCCCACATCTCACACATGATAGACACCCAGTGTTACAGATCAAGAAACCCGTCGGACCCATCCCCCGCCATCGCGGTACCCCTTCACAATTATGTTCCACTACGACCTCGTCCTCGATCCCTCTCATCACCTCCTCGATCCCTCTCATCTCATGTAGCCACCATGAAATCCGCACAATACATCGATTCCAGTTTCCACCGTCTCAACCCGGGTCGACCACTACCACTTCCCCAATTGCACCATTCAACGGGCTTGGCCTGCCCAGCCTGTTATGCGCAAGGGAGGCAGGACATGCCATTGAAGTACATACGGCAACTTTCAACTTATTGGCGCGTCGCGGTGAGTTTACCTTCCTCCATTATCTCTTTGAAAAATTTCACCGAGTAACTGACCACCCCTTTGAATAATACAGTGCAGCATCCAGCCTCCTCCTGGTGGCCAAGGGCATTTTTACCGAAGCTGGACTTTTGCAAAGCTCAATCACGAGATCGCATCCATAAACGCGGGCCACTGGCCTCCAATCCCATACACACCTCCTAGTCAGCCCGTCGCCACCCAAAATCCCACGGCATCAAATTCAGATATCGGCCCACCACAACAACTCACAATGTTCGCAAGCCAGCAATTGGTGGAGCAACTATTCCCCACCACGGCCCCTACCTCAAAAGCACGACCTCCCAAGCAAACGGACGGTATCCTATGCCGCGGAGTTGGGGGTCGCACTAGCGCTCATAAACCAACCGACGCACGCAAAGGCAACAAACAATGTCACTACCACGCCTGTGCCTCGGTAGGTCCTTCTTCTACTCCCTAAATACTCAACAATGTTGCATTCTGAACCCATTATTTCCATCACAGTGCTGTCAAAAATTGGGAGACAAGAACCGCGCCTGTCCAGCCAAGGGTCATGCCCACAAGACAAACACCACCAAGCCTCACGCCAGTACCAGCGCTGCTCCAGCCATCCACCCAGTTCTAAAGCGTTTGAATCGGGAATCATCTGTAGAGGTCATCGAAGGATCGCGCCAGGCCGCCAATCTCCCAATGCACAGGCGCCTGCCAAATCAGAGCGCCCAGACTGGCGCTTGCCTCGCGCAAGAAATGGACAATGCTCAGCTTGGCCGGTTTTTTGAATTGCATTCGGAGCGTCTCGAAGCCAACAAACGAGATCAACGCCTAGAAGCTGATGAGGCCAAGGTTGTCAAAGTCGTTGCATGGCTCCGAGTAAGTGCTTTATTTCTCTTTTCTTTGATCTGAACAACCCTTGTTCAACCCAATCTCGTCCCTAGGCCGAAGAAGCACCCAAATTCTTCTCCTTCCTCGCATCAAAATGGCCGAAATTCACCCTGGACCAATGCCAGCACCTCGTCAATGAGGCTGCTGTCATAGAAGGTCTGGAAGACCCCGACGGCTGGAGTCGAACTTTTTCGATATGGGATCCGACATTGGATGGATGGGTACGAGGCTCAGTCTATACTATGTCATTTCATGACATGTTGATCCTAACACCTAATGTTTTCCAGTGTACGCAAGGTGTAGACGTCCCCTCTCGCCACCCCATTGCGCCCCGACAGATACTTGTTAAACGGGTGCCGCTTAAAGAAAAGGAGTGTTTGCGTTTTGACTATTTCCTCAAGTCGACCTACAAGACAACCACCTCGCCTCGCCCCCCCACCCCTTACCTTCCAAGTGGTGTGAGCAGCACCTCCCCTGTGAAGGCGCCGGCGGCGCCCACGTCATCACAACCAGGCCTACATGATCCAGACGATGACGATGAGGTGGAGGTCATTCCCAACATCCCGGCTAGCTCGGTCAACCAGGATCCAGCTCAAGCGGTGAGCTCTATATACGTTCAGCAATATTCATCACATAAAACTAACTCAGTAACCTTCTTATGAAACAGCAACCTGACTCAGACCACACCGCCAAAGCTTCGTGGCCCGACGATGATGCACCGATGAGTCACCTGATGGAGTGGCACATGTTGTTGTCAACCATGCCCCGTCTACGCGCTTGGGATGCGATGTTCAAGCATCAATTTGTCCGAGGTGACCGCACTGTCTATCGGTACGCGCAATGGCTTGACCTTGTAACTGAACCAAGGTTGCGAAGATGGGAAGCCCTGCAGAACAGCATCAACTGTACACCCACCATCGGAGCTCTGCGTCAAGAGTTCCACAAAGAATTCGTCGAAGTAGGACGCCTGGCAGGCGCCAACATCGGCGCTAATGCCACCTCTCAAGCGTCTCTGCAAGAACCTCTGCAGAGAGGTCAGAAACGTAAATTGGGTAAATGATTTGGTACCACAGGCTTTTTTTTGTCATCCTATCTGTTTTGGAACTAACGACAATGGGCCCACATTGTATTCTGTGCGAAAGTACACTGTCTGTGCCATATCTCCAAGTTTACTCGACCGGAATCTGTGCCCTTATTGTTTGTATTTGATACGTGATGCTCCCTCTCCAATACCCGTGAACTGGTCGACCTAATCTTCGGAGTAATCGAAACATTATTTGGGTTACATAAAGCGATCTCATTGTTCTTCCAGCACCATGGTCCCATCACCAACACTTACGATCTGTATGGCCCGCTTGTTAGGGATGAATGGATTAAGCGAGCATGTCCATGCTCGCTTAGTCCATCTGGCCAGGGGTTCGCGTTCCTTGTGTACGCGATGAATTCGATTACGTAGGCAGCCTAAGATGAGCGAATCAGGGATTCGCTAATCTTGGAAGTCATTAGATCAGGTAGGTGCCAATAACTCGACAGTTATTCAAGGAATGTGCGCTACGTTCATTCGGAACTAACCAAATGTACTCATTCTTTCATAGCAAGATTCGCTACTATTGGAAGTCATCAGGATTGAAGCAATGTGAGCTACAGTCTTGCGGTGCTAACTAACAAGATATTGAATGTTCACCCATCCAAGCTTCAATCCAGGTACAAACGTAAGAATGTAGGTAGAATGGATGCTAATGAGAATGGTCGGAGAAGGGGAAGAATGCCAGAGCTTGTTACTGTAAGCTCATTTGTTACCTCCTTGGTCATGACCGAAGCCTATGAACTAACTAGCTTGTTTGTATATATATTTTCATGTTTCTCAATAACCAAAACACCCTCCTCTTCATCTTAGGATACTGTTTCCGATTGAATTATCATTATCGATTATCTGCTTGGCATCTTGTTCTCGTCTTGTTCTATAGAGTATTATCGTCCCTCCCCTCCTCATTCTCACACACAAACATGGCTGACCTGATTGGCCATGTCCCTTTTTTTCTTTAGTACCGCCATGAACGACACCGAGAACCACTTTTCGGACAGCGACGATTCCGCCTCCTCTACTAATACTCAAGTTGAGGACGAACACGTCCAACTCCAACTCCCAGTTACAAGTGACCCTATTTCCTCCAACTTGGAACTATCCGGTAATTTGGATGATGAAGCTGAGGCCGAGTCACCCAGTGCTTCCGAAGCAACCACCTTCGGTCTCATTGATCCAGCATCGATCACTCTGCACTCAGTCTGCGGAATGGGTACGCATGCCTACCTGTCTTCCTATCCCCTCATCCATATTGAAGGATGGTTCTGATGTTTGTTAATTTCAGAGAACGTGGTATTGGTGCACGCGTTCAATCCCACCTTGGTATCACAGCACCTTGGCCGATACACCCTCCCCCTCGTTCAACTTGTTCAAACTAATCTATCAATGGGCAATCCGCACAACAATGCCACCATCTTTTGCATACAACATGCCCCATCCAATGGTATTGGATGGACTTTTTGTGGACAACCTGCCCTTATAACCATCTCCAACGAGTTCATCCACGCATGGGATTTTCGGTCGACTTACAAAGGGACGCTTTCTAAGGGCAACCTGAGTATCCCCCTTGGTATTCGCGTATTCCATCAAAATGACCGTGCACTGTCTGTATATCAGGGAATTGCCCAGACAAACCTTCATGTGGCTGTCTCTCTAGAGAGGTTTCGAGAGGATGTTGGAGATGTCATGACCACGGGGAACTCAAGTGACTGTGAATGGGAAACTCTTCAAATGCTGCGTGTCAGTCTTTTCGGGTTTCATTACGTTGTTAGTCTTAGCACTGACTCTTTTTTTTTGCCACAGTTCCAGGAGAACGTTATTGGGGAGTTGCACTACCAGGCTTTGGTACATAGTGCTCACCACAATTTGAGTGCTTTCACAGCCGAGGAGCTGGTTGAAGGTCCTCGCGAAATGTACAGCCTGGACTCCGCATTCTACCCAATTACCAGGCCACCAAACCACCACTATCGCTCGACATCCATCCGGAAACTTCTCAATGCTTTCTCTCACTGGTCCTACAACGAATCTGGTGGAAGCAGCGTAATTGCTGGTTTCCAGGGTGTTGGGCCAGTAATTACCGAAGCGGTTGTTCATGATGTCACGTAAGTGAGCCACCTGGATGATGGCTTGCATGTATGTACGCTGCTGAGTGAATCTCTGCGCTTGTAGGGGACACTGGACCATTGGGAATTTTGGTCAATGTGCCATCCGGCGCTTTCCAGACGAACACACTTGCAATAACTTCTGTGTTGCGCTTGACTTACAGTTTGAAGATTCTTCATGAACCACTATTCCTGAAACTCAATTCGATTTCTTTATCCTCGACAAGTTATATTCATTTGTGTTCAGTTCATCTCATCAGTAATTCATCTTTGTTAAATATATGATCCATCCAATCCAAATATTAAAATCTTATGTCTATTGGATGTCTAATCCGTATGATTGATTAATCTACTGAAATGGAACTTTGAATTACTGATGAGGATTTCACTGCCTTCAAAACACTGTGCCAGAAATTTTGTTATGTTTTACCTTTCATTCAAAGTGGAATGGGTGGGCTCGGCAAAAATCAGAGAAAGAAACACATGTACTGAATTTACTTTACAGTAACACACTGCATATAATTAACTAGTGAAAAGTGGCAGAGTTGAGCCTTTACTTTTTTTTTCAAATCAGTTAGTTACAAAAACGGAGGTGGTTCGATAATTGTATCACATCACAAAAGGATGTCTCCTATGAATGTGAGATCTGCCCTTTTCGATAGCCTTTTGATTAACCAGTCATTTCGCCGCTCGGTCATGTCTTCCATCATGAAATTAAAACGGATGCGGTGCATGTTTCTTGCCATTGAGGCAAAACCACCATACCAGACATTGCTGCACTCGCCCGCTGAAGAGTTGAAATACCAACCGTGGGCGTCTCGGAGCTCTGGGAACAGTTTTGGGTCCGTATAATATTGGCAAAACTCGTCGCTCTCCTTGTGCGAGTGGAAGTGAAAGGGGTCCACGGGGATGACAGTGTCCAAGAAGCGGGTGGAGTCCGAGCCCCCGTGGTATATATGATCGACTAGCTTGCATGCATTGTCGTAGAAGCAGACTTGAGGCAATTTTCGCGGGAATGTTCGAAGTAAGAAATCCTAAGTGCCGTCCGTCCGGGGGTTAGTCAGTCGTTAGGCGCGGTCAAGATTCCTTGCAAAATCACTTACACGGACTGCACTGACACCCTCAGAGTGATAAAACGTTTCCCTAGCCAGGATGACTCCACAGGTAGCCACGATGAGCTGGTCATTGTGTGTTCGTGCTCGGGACAGGCTGATTCGAGATGGAGTCGCGTCGGCGCCTTCACGTCCCTGCTCGTGCAGGCGATCCATTTCATCGCCTTGTTGAATGTTGTCAAGGCCTACCAGTTCCGCAGTGTTCCAATCTTGATGGACAGTTGGATCCGAAGGCCGGTTTGATCCAGGTCGATTAAGCATAGAAGTCAGGGCAAAGTTGGAAGTGATATGGGCTTTGAATTTCGAGTACGCTTCGGTGTGCTCTTGAAGCGCACAGGTTGCCTGCCCATCGAGGGCGTCGCTTTTGCATGGTTGAGCAACGCAACGCTTCCCAAGGCGCTGATGGTGTAAGGGGCAGAATCGATCCGAAACTCGTTCGAGAGGTGATGTACATGGCCCTTTTGGCGGGGGTAAACCATCTTCACAAGCGAGATCACGCAGCTGCTCTTGGGTGGCAGTGCAACGCCAGTGGCCTATGGTAAGGCCGTCTGTCACCACCGCACGGATATCTAAGTGAACGTATATAAATCAACCTTCGTGAACCACAGCAGAGAAAACGCAAATGAAAAAGGAGTCGTACAGCCCAATTTTGGTTTGCCATCTTCGGAGGGCAGCGGGAGAACTCGCACACATGCAGAACAGGCATGATTGCGATGCTTGCTGCCTTCCAACGCGATCCATTCTAGGACATCTTGCATTGCTTGGTGATAGCGTTTTTCTGAGGGCAAAGAGTCGTCCGAGACATCGACACGCAAACACGTGCCAGCAGTGTCTGATTTCAGGAGGAGGCAGTGGATGTCTAGAGCGTCTCGGCAGGTAATATCAGAAAGATCGGGCTGAATGGTGGGGGCACCGTCGAGTGATGGCAGTGAAAGACGATCAACGTAACATCGGTTGAACAGGTTGGCGAGGTTGAAGTTTGAGATGCTGTGATATGACAGAGGAACATTGGTTAAATGATTTAATTAATTAGTGAGAGTGTTAGATGAAAGTGTTAGATTGCATTATCTTAAACTGGAAACAGACGTACTGGGCAAGCATCGTGCCTTCTCTGAGTAGCTCCGCCAGTCGATGGGTCATGAAAAAATGACAAGATACTTGGTAGGTCTCTTGGTTCCGCCCGAGGTTCGAGGAGTAGTAGGTGCGGACACGATTTTTTGAATAGTAGCTTGGGCGGTAATAAGTGGGACAACCTGTTGAAATGGATAGTACGGGTTGGTTGGTTTGTTGATGGGGGAGGGAGATGGGTCAAACAGCGCTCACCTGGACATTTGAGGGTGACAATACCAATGGTGTGGACACCGTCCACATCGTAGAGGTACCCGTCGATTCGAGAGCGTAGGTGCAACTTGTGGGGCTTGGGGCACGTCAAGCAATGCTTGACCGGCGAGACCAGGTAATATTCAGGTATCTTGACTGACAAGTCTGGTTGATAGCCGTGCCGTTGAATCAAAAGGCCAGGTTGTATGTGGGTGGCGGTGAAGAGGGGGTAGGTGGCGTGCCAGAGGTTGTAGCACATCTCTTTGGATAGAGATAAGTGCAAGGCTTTGCGTAGGAATGGCGTGATGATTTGGGCTTCATTGCTGAGTAGCCCTTTAGCGCGGTTAGCTACCTCTGCGGCCAATGCAACAAATCGTGTAAAGTCGTGAACCTCGAGGGTCGAATGGAGCAGCGGGTAATTTTGATTGAGTGCAGTGACAAATTCGTGCAATAGCATGGTGAAGTTCGTTGAGAGACGTTCTGAGGTGGCAAGAAGTGGAATAAAGGATAAGGTGATTGAGTCGATGGAGTTGGGGAGTATGATGATTCACGGGTGATGGGTAGCGGGTGATATGTGTTGACACATTTCACCCCATATGTTCAGGTTGTGTTCGACGATGGGGACAGTCAGAGGACAGTTCCCGGCGAAAGTTTCCAGGGGAAGTGAGAACCCATGAATTAATGGGTTAACAGTGGCCTGACAGTGTCAGAGCTCTGACACTGTCCGTCCTCCCAAAGGCCGGGACCTCTGCCCTCACCCCCACCCCTTCATGGGCTTCACAGAGCATTGAACTCAGTTAAAGCCCCCTTAAAGATTATCTTAAGCAGGGATTAGCAACTTAAAATGAGGATCTTAGGTTGTTTAAATGAAAGGCCACACTGGGCCACATCATGTCAGGCCATGGCCCTGGCCCTGGCCACGGCCACGAAAAAGGCGCCGGGTGTGACCCCGGCAGCCGGGGTCATGGAATGTGGCGGAGGCTGGCGGATGAAGTTTGAACTACATTTTTATACACTACATTTGTTTCTCAAGTCTACCGTGAAGTCTCGCCTCGGAGACCGTCCGTCTCCTGCAGGCTGCCGGGTTGAATCCTCCACCGTTCACACACAGCGCTCTTCCCGCAAGTTCCCGCACCATTTTCCGCAGGCCGATACAGTGAGGATTGAACGATCAGTTCAAATTGATTTTTACCCACTCAATTGAAAACAAGATACAAACCACCGCTTATGTAACTCAGAAAGCGTTGGCATATGTCAAGGTCAGCTGATGTGATTCATGGTTTGGTTCCTTATATTCTCTTCATTCTCATCCTCGATATTTCAGAAAAGTTGCTTAAAACCAATCAGCCGATATTCATCCTACTCTCATTTCCCTCAGGCTCGAATTTTTCGCAAAGTCCTTCCAATCTCAGATCCAGCTACTCGATCACGCACACACTACATAAATACCTGTAACTCGATTCAGATCTGACAACATGGCAACCCAGTCAACTATCAAAGCCTTAGAGATCCCATCACTTCTAAGCGGGCATCCAAAACCCCATGTTGATGAGGCAGCCTATGAAACGATGTACAAGCAAAGTATCGAGAGTCCGGTTGAATTTTGGGACAAGGTTCGAAATACTCAAATTTCATCATTCCGAATTTCTTTGGATTTCAATTTTAAGATAGCGTATTGACATATTGTAATCAGCATGCTAAAGAAGTGATTCATTGGCATCGTCCATACACTCAAGTCAAACAAGGTGGATTCGATTGCGGTGATATGAGATGGTTTGAAAATGGTGGATTGAATGCATCATATAATTGCGTTGATCGATGGGCTATCAAGCACCCAGATAAAGTATCAACGGTTTTCAATACGTATCCTCACAGTGTGTTTCCGTTCTGATCAGGTGGTGTAATTCCAATCTGTACAGACCGCCATCATCTGGGAAGCAGACGAGCCGGCTGACAGTGCCGAGATGTCGTACAGGGAGCTTCTGCAAGAAGTTTGCAGGCTCGCTAACGTATTGGTGTCCATGGGTGTCAGAAAAGGCGATGTAAGTTAACAAAACCTCCGATCTATTTGATATATATGCAGTAAGCACCCTTGGGATGCATCACACAATCTATCCGCTAAGCTGACCCCTTACATTCATCTTTTGATGTGATCACTTACAAGCTCAGACAGTGGCCATATATCTGCCTATGATACCACAGGCCGTGGTGGCTTTTCTGGCATGTGCTCGGATTGGTGCGATTCATTCCGTCATCTTTGCTGGTTTCTCGGCAGAATCGCTTCGAGATCGCGTTCAAGACGCTCGATCAAAAGTTGTCATCACTACGGATGAAGGCAAACGAGGCGGGAAAAATATTGCCACAAAATCGATCGTTGATACCGCTCTTTCGGGCATCACGGACCCTGAAATCGCCCGCAAGGTGATTGTTTATAAGCGCACTGGATCCAATGTCAACTTTGTGGAAGGTCGAGATGTGTGGTGGCATGAAGTTTGCGCATTGGCTAAGCCTTATTGTCCCATTGAAATCATGGACAGTGAAGATCCTTTATTCATTCTATATACTTCCGGAAGTACTGGAAAGCCAAAAGGATTACTTCATACCACTGGTGGATATTTACTCGGTGCGGCGATGACGGTCAAATACGTCTTTGATGTACACGAAGATGATCGCTTTGCCTGTATGGCTGATGGTTAGTGAAGAGTCTCTTTGTGGGGTGTAACATTCCTTGTCATTCTTTGCTTACTAGTCTTGTATTGGACTCTTTTCCTCAGTCGGATGGATCACAGGCCATACATACATCATCTATGGTCCTCTGATGAACGGAGTTACTACCACAATATTCGAATCTACGCCTCTCTATCCGACTCCATCTCGATATTGGGAAACAGTCAGCAAACACAAGCTAACCCAATTTTACACAGCCCCGTGGGTTTCCCTTCCTTTTCGTGGCGCATATTGCAAGTAATCGGCTCACACCATGTACCTTTCTTAGTACTGCAATTCGACTTCTCCGCCGATTAGGTAATCAGCACGTAGAAGGACATGATCTCTCTTCTTTGCGGACCATAGGGTCTGTAGGGGAACCAATCAACCCAGAAGCATGGACATGGTACCATGAGCAAGTTGGTAAGGGCCGGTGTGCTGTTGTGGATACCTACTGGCAGACAGAGACCGGTTCAATCGTCATCACGTGAGTAAAGCTGGTTAATTTGTACTTCACAATTGCCTGCCTGTGCTAACGGGTGCGCCTGTTCGGACCTAGACCTCTACCCGGAGCTACTAAACCCAAACCAGGTTCTGCCACCCGACCATTCTTTGGTATCGAACCCGTTCTACTTGAGCCCACCACAGGCAAACTGGCCGATGATCAATCAATTTCAGAGGAAACTGGGATGGTAGAGGGTGTACTGACCATCAAGAAACCTTGGCCATCGATGGCACGAACAATCTATGGAGACCATTCCCGTTTCTTAGATACTTATCTCAGGCCTTATGCCGGTTATTACTTTACTGGTGATGGAGCTGGACGGGATGCTGATGGCTATTATTGGATCAGAGGACGTGTTGATGGTCGGTTTAGTTTAGCTTGAAAGGATTGGAAGTGTCTTTTTTGTGTCAAACTGACGAAGATTTACTTTTGATCCCCATGAAGATGTATTGAACGTATCCGGACATCGTCTTTCGACTGCTGAAATCGAATCAGCCTTGATTCAGCATGCTGCTGTAGCAGAAACAGCTGTCGTAGGAGCTCCAGATGAGACTACTGGGCAAACTGTGTTGTAAGTTGCAAAATAATATTCCCACCCATCCAGCTAATCAACACAAACTGACTCACGCGGTAAATTTGGGATAGTGCGTTTGTTACACTCAAGCCTTCATACGGGTTCGAGCCATCTAAAGAGGCTGCTTTGATCAAAGAACTTACTGTGCAAGTTCGAAAGATCATTGGACCATTTGCTGCACCCAAGCGGATTGCATTAGTCGAAGACTTACCCAAAACTCGATCAGGAAAGGTTAGCTTTATTGATAAATCTTGTCCATTCTAAGCGTTTTCTAATCTTGAGTTGTGACTTCAAATGGTGATAAACACTAGATCATGCGAAGAATCCTTCGAAAAGTAGTGGCTGGTGAAGCACATCAACTTGGAGATCTTTCTACTTTATCTGATCCATCTGTTGTAGAAGCCATCATCAAAATTGTAGAAGAAGAACAATGACCCGAACAAAACTGACCTCCACATCTACCAAAGGGTTGATTTTGGAAGGTCCCTTTCCTTTGTAATTCTATCATTATCATTAAAACGTTTTGTTTGCAGACATATTCCTTTTTTATTACATTAACAAAATTATGTTTGTCTTTGCAAACATATTCCTTTTTTATCACATTAACACAATTATGTTTGTCATGTTTATTTCAAATTGAACCTAGCTTAACAATGAACATGATCTTCAAATTGAGCAACTTGAAATCTATTCTGAGATTGCTGTTGGCCAAGACCCCACGCTAGTGAAATAATATAAATGATATGAGCATTATACAAGCACTGCAAACATTAGTGGCTCTCAAACCTGCCCTTGTTTTAAAAAACCCCAGTTGACCCAGTTGTTTTTTGGCAGTAACTTTGTGTATCAAGTTGACATTTGTTGACAGCTCCCAGCCAAAAATTCCACTGGGGCAACCGGGTTTTTCAAATCTGGGTCAGGTTTGAGAGCCACTATTATTCAACTTCCCTAAGTGGGCAGGAAAAAATGATTGGGAGTATGATTTGTCATAAAATGATCTATCACTCCACACCTGAGCCATAACACCCACACTACATATGTGTAGGAGGCTCAGTGAATAGGTGGTTATCATGTACATACAGTTCTGCTCAGTTATCTGCTCATCAGGATTAGTTATTCATATGTAATACATGCTGTAACATTTTTCAGATTGGCAAAAGCATTCAAAAGATTGACTACATACACTGACTCAACATTTTGAGGTAATCTCATCAACTCAACTGCATGTAACACTCTTTCTGTTACTAAGGAATAGCTCCAACAATATTGCCTGAGAAGCAACAGAATTATATGTAGTGGGTTTTTGGGACAATTTTTTTGAAGTCAAAGAAGTTACATGTGGTATAACATGTGGTTCATTTATCCTGATGGGCAAAAAACTGAGTAGACCTGTATGTACATGACAGAAAACTATTTACTTAGCTTGCTGCACATATTTTGTGTGGGTGTTATGGCTCAGGTGTGCAGTATTGGATCCCTTTATGACAAACTTTGCTGTTGGTAACTAGTTATTAACCTAGTGGAATGGGATAGTTGGTAAAATACATTACATGTTGGTCCATTAACTGACAGGTTGGGTTTGCCCTAATCTTATCTTTGATCTACAGATATGACATCATACCTGTTGTTCACCTACTTTACCAACTTCCCATTGTGTTCACCTTTGTCAAAGTTTCTTATTTTTGAATCCAAGTTCTTATTTAGTTTGTTAAAAGTAGTATCATTACATTAAATCAACAGTTTTTCATCCCACCCTCCCACCCTTGTGATATGGTAGTTATTTAGTTTAGTTTTTTAAAAAACAAGAGAAGAATATTGTTTTGGTATTTAGTTAGTTGGGTTTTGCCAGTGGGTTGTTTCATTGTTTGGCCATGGTTTTATTTGGTTATTTTTTGTTATTTCAAGTCAGTTATGGTAGAAGTTATTTCATGTATGGTTATATTTTGCTAGTGTTTTAGTTCAGGTTCAGTTATTTTTCAGTTGTTTTGTTTGTGTACGGTTATGTTACATTTAGGCCGCTAGCCACCCCATAGGGTGTGTTCATCTATTCAAGTAATATTATTTCCCTTGGCTTAGGCTTTGGGCTTTGCCCCAAACACATGTTCTCTTTTGTATTTTGGATACCAGGATTCTAGTAAGTTTTAACCATCTCATTTTGTACTATTAATCATTGTCCTCTTCCAAATTGGGGAAGTTGAATGATGTTCACAGTGAATGAGGTTTACCCTGGTTTACCACTGCCTTGATGGTCTAGGACATATCATTGAATCAACTTCATGAATCTTTGATGAGAAAGGTGTCTAAGATTAGGCCAGCCTCATGTCAAGGGTCAGGTTTTTCTGAATTTGAGTTGTTGCAGCAAAAAATGGCTATGGTCAACAGTCAACAAAATTAAATTGATGTGAATTGTGTTCAGCAACCCACTCTGCCAATGATAGACACTACTTCTGTAAAAAGTGTGCCACTTACTAGCCGGGTGTGTGAAAGTAACAAAAGCACAAGATAAACAAGAACATCATGTGTTTGGAAAAGATCTCTTAGCAATTGTATCCTCCTGCTCAATCATCTCACCTCCAGTAGACACCACAGGGTAATCCAGACTGCCTTTTTTCAAGCAAAGGTTACCGCTGTACGGCCAGATTGGCCCTGTGGTGGATGGCTGCCTGCAGATAGTCAACAGCGCGGTGAGATTGGCTCTGTGCCGTAAGATGGGCCATTTGATGGCTTATGAACTCTTCCAAGGTTTGTACACTGGCAATCATGGGGGAGCTGATCAAGCAAACCTCTTTGTTCCTGCCCACAGCCACACTATCAACCCCGTGTGGATTGAGGAGGTGGTGCAGAGCTCCCAGACCAAAGAATGGATTCTAGGGGCTCTCCTGTTGTCAAAATCAAAAACAAATGTGGTGAGAACCACATCTATGTAGGCAAATGTGAAGAACAAAGTTTAATTTCACAGCCTCCAATTTGTTGTTTATCAAAGACAGTTTCTTTTTCCATCTTCTGCTTGCCAAAGGGCTGGTAGATCTCTTGTCAGATTGACTGGCTACACAATTGGCTGATTTCTGCCCAAAAGTTCAGGTTTTGGCCATAAAATAGCCAGTATAGTCCTACCATCTATGATCTGGGCCCTGACCAAACACTGAACTTTTGGCCAACACTCCCCAAGATTGTGACACAACCACTTTTGCAATGGTATCTTGATGACAATTTGCCCTGTGGTGTATGGCAAAATCAACTTTAGGATAAAAGGATTGTCAACGGTCTCCATGTTCACTTTGTTACACATTGGAAAACTACTACCAAGACCTACCAAAATGTACTGTTTTTTGGTGTGTGTAGATCTGTGTTGCACCTCAACACTTTCTGCCACAAGATTGTGTCTCCACCAATCTTTCCACTGAAGTGCTCTTCCTGTGGCTTAACTCCTACAGTCAAGCCAGTATGATCCAGCCTTCTTATTGTTCTGACCTCACAATCATATTGGTGTGTAGAGGTCTTTGTCACCCCTCAACACTTACTGCCCCACTTTGGTGATCTTTGGCAGGGACAGTCTCCCCATTCTCCTGGCTTGAGCCTCGACTCTAGGAGTCAAGCCAAAGGAAGCGGACTTCAGTAGAAAGACGGGTGGAGACACAAGTATGTGGCAACAAGTGTTGGGCCTTGGGGTGCAACACAGATCTACACATAACACAGACAAACATGATGCCAAGGTCAAATCATTGAGATCAGCAAGGAGTGATTTTTCAAAAATGTCTCCTTGGATCCAGTGATGATATACAATATGACCATGTAAAACTAGTCTTTGGGTGAGTGTCACTGTGAAAATATGAGAATGGAAAAATTCAAAGATGAAGTGAACAGCTGGGTCCAATTTATAATTCCTCATTCAGAGAGCAATATATATGTTGGATCCAGAGTTATTGTGCACTGCTTCAAGACCATCTCATGATGTTATTCATATGGCATCACTCTTGACTCATGGGACTTGATCCAGAGTAACATACCAAAATCACGGCAAGCTTAGTAATAATATATTCATCCCAAGCTCCTTCAAGTTCTTCTTTAGATGAATCTCAAAAGAAAGGTCATCTGGCAAGAACAATGCACAGCAAATGGGTTTCAGGTATCAAGTTTCTTTTGAGATTTTCACACAATTTGATTGTCCTGCCCTCCCGGTAGTTGAGTGCGCTTATTACTCATTTGCGGTGTAATTTGCAAAGGCAGGCCTTAAGCTGACATGCGTTTTCAAAAGCTCACTCTATGAAGATCTTTCAAACAAACCCCACGTGCCAAACTGATCCCCATATCACTTATCACATGTCAAATCTCTTCAAGGCTGAGTAGCCGTTGAATGTTTAGTTCACTATCTTGCTTTGAAGACCTTATCATCTAGATTCTAAAGTCTTTTTTGAGGTGTTGATCATCAGTACATACCTGCTCAAATTGAGCCTATCTTTACATCAACACAAACCAGATCCCCTTCATGATCCGAATATCTGTAAGAAGAGAACCTTAAATACAATTAGGATGGGTGATAAAGGCAGATGAAGCAATTGATTAGCAATCCAGGCAACATCACAACTCAAGATCATATATCTCAGTATTTTAATCAGAAGCTAGAAACAGTTTTCAAAACATGAGCCTGTGATCAAATGAAAAAGAAAACAAATCAAACCCACAATTTTTGACATCTTTGTCTTTATGAGGGGTACACAAACATGAACACCCAACCTAAAAACCCATGGACAAAACCCATGGCAACCCCATTGTTTTGGGGGTTTTGTCCAATGGGGAAGCGAAAACCAATGGACAAAACCCCAAAAACAATCGGTTTGCCATGGGTTTTGTCCATGGGTTTTTAGGTCGGGTGTTCATGTTTGTGTACCTCTACACATTTTGATCCACTCTCTCTCTCATATCACTATCGGGAAGGGTAGGGACTAGGACGCAATTTCACATTTAAATCAATATGTATTACGTGTAGACCCGGTTTATCCTAGACAAACCTAAGGACTCCGTGGAGGAGGCATTAGGTCTTTTGGGGGGCCCCTTATCCGGTACGGGTAAGGGGGGTAGGACCCGGGCCTCGTAGATGGGGAGCTCTTCCCCACGACTTGGGACATAGGCCTGAGCCTGAGAACACCCATCTACTATGGGCCGGGTCGCCCATCATCTCCGACACCCCCCGTCTTGGAACTCATGAACCGGAAAAACGGGTCGGGGATCCATCATCTAGTGTCGATCACAATAATTGCAATTGGATCAGTAACTCTTTACAATCTTTCATGTCCTCCTCAGTATACTGTCTAATATAGAACTCATACGCCTTAGACCTCCACCGGCCGATCGCTACTATATCTCCCAATGACACCCCTAGGTTCCATCTGAGGGACGCTCCTCCGACCCGGAAGGAGTGGCCGGTGAGTTTGGTTTTTGACTTAGCGTTCCAGACCTTTGAGAATATCACCTGACTCCTAGATTTCGTGAGCACCCGTCGCAGGTTCTTCACCTGGTAAGAGAACAAGGCATCGTCTTCCGTTGCCCCCGTACACTGGATCAATCGTCGTAAGGCGCTAACTGGATCGAGCAGGGATCGTTGTTTTTGAAGGTGAATCTCTTGTACTTCCCCGACGGCCGCCGTCTTTGCCTCCCGAATCCTTATGGTACAGAATTCATCATTTGGGTCCCATATTACATCCTTTACTCTAACCTGGTCAGACGCATTCGGTTTCTTGAGGAGTTCACCCAAGCGAGCCATACCCCAAAAGGCAATCAATGCCACCGTGTAAGCTACTTGCTCCTCCAGGCATCCCCCAACTAAACTTTCCAACAGTAGAAACAGATGTCTAATCATAACTGGCTCTTTCAGCACTTTCCTTCCCTTTTGTAATTCCAGTCGCTTCGCCGTTGTCAGTAGCAGCTCGACTCGAGGTGTTGCTTCGTGCGGGTACCTCCGATTATGGTAGAGGTGCCACGCCTTGATTCCCGACAAGTAGGTGCGTATCGTATCAGCCTTGATCGGCACGTGATGCTTTCCTTCAGGATCCTCCGGTAGTCGTGGACCTGCCCACAAGACGAACTGATACAGGATGTCTGCATCGATGGGAAGTAGCGCCGTTCGAGGGATGTTAAACATCTTTGCGAATGCCACAAGCTTCGAAACGCCAGCTGTGTAGTGCTTGATCGTAGTCTTCGCCCAGCTGCCATAAAGGATGTAAGCCTTTACTGGGTCATCGTCTTCTTCAGCCGTACCGACTAGGAATTCTTTCATGTCGTTGTTTACTGGACAGCTCTCCGATCGATGCTCAAGTGAGGTGGTTGGGTTATGTAGCAGGGGGTTAAGATAGTTCTCAAACAGATTGCTCCGAGTACCGGAGGTGTTTACCACCCTCCCCCTCGCAATTCAGTTGAAGTAAGTGCATGTTGTTGTCAACATGGTCAAATGGGTACAACACGGCAAATTGGGTACGTAGAGCTAGTGGCGTTTTCATTTCAACAAGGAGCCTTCGGATGGGGCAATACAAGTCTCACGGTACAAACTGTTTACGTCCCTGAAACACTTGAACAAGTACAGGTTTTAGATCGATCGGAACCTCGATCACCACACAATCCTCCATAGGTAAGACTTTCCCGATGCCTCTGGACAACTCATCCGCGTCATTACTAGCTGACTCTACCCTCTCTGCCTCGATGTCACAATGCAGATCTACAAGCAACCGTTGGATACTTTTCCACTCCTCGTTTACCGCTCTGTCCCTAGACTTATGCTTCAGGACCACACATTCCGATGTTGTGTTGTCAGTAAGGACCTTTATCTTCTTCCCTTTCACATCGTGGGTCATACTTACCACCAGCAGACCTAACCGGATAGCGGCAGTTTCTGCCCATGCTATTCCTCCCTTTTCCGACACTTGCAGATGTTCTTTCCATCCTTTGAGCAACTTAAACTGTGCCCATTTTCTGCCTACTAAGATTCCTATCCCAAACGATGTCGCGGCATCACCAACCCAACCTACATCTGTAGTTTCCACACTAGGGATGATCCGCCTCGCCTCAAACGTAGCTAAGGTGAGTTTCCATTCCATCAAGTCTATACGTGCATCGCCTGGTAATGTCCTCCTTGCTGACAAAACTTTCCACTCGTTTTTCCATTTGTGTAAGCTTGACATGTAGCATACCAGGTTAGATACTATGTAAGATGTGTGGACTAATCTTCCTACCAACTTCTCGGTTTCCTTAAAGGTAAACGATCTGTTGGAAACCAAGAAATAATCAATCTGATCCTTCCTTTCCTTCAATTTATCTTCTGGCAGCCGGCCTGTCCTCTCCAAGGAGTTCCACACAAAACCAATGTAACGCTGTTCCGCTCCGAATTCGTGTACCTTTTCTTCATTCGAGGCGACTCCCATTGAATCACTCAACGTTACGATGTCCTTTACCGTGGTTTTGTTCTCGACGTCTTTGACCAGTAAGTTGTCTTCGACCCAAAGAAACGCTCCTTTTAACCCAAACACTTTCTTTACAATCCTCTTCCATAGATCCGCAGGTCGGCCAAAAACACCGCACCCTGTAACACCACCAAACTGTACCCTACAGTCCAGCCATAATCGATTCTGGAGATCCAGGATAAACAGATACCTCCACTGCGATGGATGTATTGGAATTTGCCTATAGGCTTTTTCCCAATCAAAAATGGCAAGTACTATTCTTCCTTCTTCTTCACTAAAAAACTTCACAATGATTTTGAAATCGTCCCAAGTCGTGTCGAAATCCTTTTTATTCACTAGGCTGTTTACTGACGGGGTGTCCTCTGAATTCTGTGGAAAAGACATATCGTTTATGATTCAGAAAGAGCCGTCGCCGTTAATCACGCTCCCCATCGGGCTGGAGCGAAAGAAACCAATTTTCTTGAACACTTCTTCATGGGTAAAAGGACCGAATATTCTTCCTTCTCTATGCTCTTTTGCTAACGTATTTTTAATTTTCTCCGCTTCCAACAATGCCGATTTGTGGTTCTCTGGTGTAAACCACCTACGATACCCCAGAGTATGATCCGGAATACCCTGGTGAAAACCTCTAATCAGGCCTGCGATCACATCCTCTGCTTCAGCCTCGAGCCCGCATTCTTTCGCGAGCATGCGCCATTCGGGGATCTTCAGTCCGCAAGATACTACTTCTGTTGGCCATCGCGAATCATACGAACTCCCCGAGTTAACGTAAGCTTTTAACATACTCATGTCTATCTGACGTTGTCCTGGTCGTTGCGTGATCTCCACCACATCAACCTCAAGGCCGACATTTCCATCAGTAGGCTGATCGTCTGCCTGTCTCTCCTTGCTCAGCCTCCGAGGGCGCGTCTCACTAAAGTAATCGGCAGGACAACGGAACAGGGCACATGAGTCAGATTTCACAAAGCCAAGAAGGTGCTTATTGCATTCATCAACACAAATAAGCAGGTACTAAGATAACACCAAAAGTCGGCTAATGTCTGCCTTTAAACTCCTTAGGAACAAGGAAGATCTCATATTCAACAGTAGACATGCCTTCACATTGTAAGGAAATTGTATAGCCTCGCAGGAGATACAAACTTAATCGGGGCTACCGCCACACACACACAGAAAGGTGGGGATCTCCCTTTTCATCACTCGGGTAAAAATAAAACGTGGGTGGAACAATCAAGGCTCTTCTAACCGAGGGGCTTACATTTGCCTCCCAGCAGGTCCAGCATTATCTCTTGCATCACCTCGACGGTCATCACGGTCTCTTCGCCAATTCTCCCGGCGGCGACTAGGGCTCCCTGCCCTCGCACCATGGTTTCCACCGTTCCAGCTTCCTCTGCGGCCTCTGGCATGACCACTTCTGAACGCTTGCCTTCTATCGTCAAAGTTGTTAGGCGCAGAACCTCCTGGGCCATCATACACCGGCAAGTTGTTGTAAGAGTGATGGTTTGAGAAGCTGTGAGAGCGTGGCGTCGGTCGGTTAAAGGATTGATTTCCTCCCAGGCCGCTAGAGCGGCTATCTACCCCAGTGATTGGGTCTACGAAGGCTTTGGCCTCTCCATCCGCATAAGGATTAATCTCCTTGAAGGCGGGCAAGAAGTCCTTTAACCTCTTGGTTTCCCTAACTGCTTCGCGTTCAAGGCGACCATCTCGTATAGCAGGGTTGGCGACTGACCCGTCCGGTAAACGAAAGGTCATCACCGCGGTTCGTACAGCTAGGTCGTAACGGAATGCAACCGGCCAGTTCGAATTTTCTCGTTTGATCGCATACACATTCTCCTTGTGGCTTCTGAATTTAACTGCCAGTTCTTTCCACTTGTAGTATTCCAGATAAGCGATAAACAAGTCGAACACAACCACCCATTCACCGAATGTCATTTTCCATTCGATAGGAACAGTGAGACCGATGTACGTATCTTCCAACTTCTCCTTCACCGAACGTTTACGGAGTGTAGATTGCTGAAGTAGGTCTTGTCTCAACCATTGGGTGTTAAACACGGAAAGGGGGATGTATGCGTCTAACGTCGCCATCTTGGTAGCAAAGAACTTCGATAAGGAAACCAGGCCATGAGACTCAATGCCTTCCTCACTAAACTTGATGGTTTTGTTGGAGTTTGGTTTGTCTTTGACCACTTCTTCATCATCGTCAACAGTGAGATCAAAAGGCCCAAGCTGTGTCGTGGACGGTCGTTTAGCCGGAATCGCGGCTGATCCTGGTGTCACACTTGCAGACTCGGACAAGGTCGCTGCAGCAAGATTGTGACCTGCTAGACTGGTGTCTGCCACATCAGGACTCAAGGACTCTTCGGCCGCTTCGGAAGATGCATTCTGGCCGCGGGATGCTGGGGCATTCTGAGTGTTAGGTGTGGGTTCTGCCGTTTCCTTTGAGGTACCTCCTGGAGTCAACACTACCAAATCGAAGCCACAGGACTGAAGCCATGTCTTAATAGCGTCAGGCAAACATTCGTCTATCCGATTCAGGATGGTACTAGTACCTGCCATAAACTTCGGATGGGCAGCAGCGGATGAAACTGATGGCACTACGCGTCGTAACCCAAAGGTACACATTCGTCAGTATCTATTCCAGATGGCGCATATCCGTTTCCATCTCCATGAGGCATCACTTCTTCAAAAGCGGCATCACGGTATGTGGCTTCGCTAAAGCGGCATCACTTTGAGTGGGGAATGTAACGAAGCTTACATGATGTGCCATTCACAACAGTTTTATTTATCACTTCTGCCGCAATAAGAGGTGCCGGTACACCTTGCGCGGGATTGACAAGAGGTCTTGAAACGGCAGCCGTCGCCGGTATGGTGGAACCTCCGGAGCTATTTGCTGAGGATGCTGCTTTGTTTCCAGACTCTCCGCCGGGGTTGGCTGGGTTGGACGTTTCCTTCCCTGACAAGGGTTGACCATCGTCTAGGTTTGCTCCCGCAGGTTCGCTGATAGTCGGTGGGGCAGGGCTGGATCCCGCAGGTTCGCTGATAGTCGGTGGGGCAGGGCTGGATCCCGCAGGTTGATCCTTAGACAAAGTGGATTGGCTACCCCCTTTCTTCCCTTTCAATCCTTTCCCCTTAGCGATGGCAGCTTGGGTCTGGGAGGTCATGTTGATGTTGGATAAGCCTACGGATGTGGTTTCTCCTTGCGTCGAAGCAGCCGCGTTTGCACTCGACACGGACGCGGAGTTGCCGTTGATCCTGTCACTTGTCCTCTTCACTTGAGAGTTGAAGTCCTCGATATCTTTAGGTGCAGACATGTCTTAGATTTAGGGAGTACCCAGAAAATTTTCTGATAGATTATAAGTTTCCGGGTGTTTGTGTATTTTGAGAAGATAATGAGGAATCAAAAAAAGAAAGATTTATTTGCTGAGAATAAATTTCGACAAGTGAGTGAGAGAGAAGACGGTGATGATGAGGTGAAAACACGCTCGTGGGATATCTGGGGAAAGGAGAAGAAGTTGGCGATATGGGAATGGTCTGTGGAAAAAATTTCCACATGGACCCTGACTATATGCGTCCAACTTACAGCTATCCCGCTATAAGGATAGTCACGTGTTTCCCTCTGATATGCGTATACGTGGAAGCTGATGGAACCGTCGTGCCTTTGGGCACCATCCACCATCAACAAATAAAAAGTATTGCTTGTTTTTTGATCATAGGCCTATGAATTCACAAAGGAAACTTCGCGCGCATACTTATGTCGGGTAAAAATTAAGTTTTACTCAACTTTTACTTTGACGTTTCTCAAAATAGGATGATCACAGAGACAAATGATAGGTATTCAATTTCCAAAGTCCATCATCAACAAACACACACCAAAAAAGAAAAAAGAAAATTCTACACACATCTAAGACTATATATGCAGATAGATATACAAAAGACCAAAAATCATTTACAATACACTCACTTCTAAACTCACGTATTGAAAAAAAAAAGATGAGAAGAAGGAAAAAAAAAGAAACCAACAAAATCATGAAATGTAATATCAAAAATTCAAATAAGATGATAAAGAAATCATGAAAAGCAAAAAAGAGAAATTCGAAAAAAGAAAAGACAACAAAACAAAACAAAAAACTTAAAAGAAATGATAAGTCAACCTAAAACAAAAGGTAAAGAAGATATCAAAAAACAAACAGTAGCAAGCTGAATGGATTGCCCAAGTAGTAGGGTATTTGAGCTACTTCAAGAAACCCTTACTCTGAGCCTAATTCTTCATACTCGTCAAAGTAGGAGTAGTAGCAGTAGAAGGAGTAGGAGTCGAATTAGCCGAATTAGCCTTAGTAGAAAGCGTACGTCTTGAGGTGTTTACTATCTCACCATTCTGATCGACCCAAGAAAGCATGAGGGATCACCCAATCAGTTAAAGAAAACCAAAAAAGCTAGATCATTGAAATGAGAAAAAAGAATCCTAACCTCAGTGACTTCATAAACATCATCTGTAGTACGAGATAACATATATTGAGATTGCATCTGTTCAAACACGCTGTCTTCTTCTGTTCGATCTTTTCGAGGAGTAGCCGGTAAAGGTGAAAAACAGTCCTTAAATTCACTTAGATGAGGTGCCATTGGAATCTTATTCTTCGTACCACTCTCCCAAGGAAGTGGACTGAGTAACATCACATTTCCAGATCCACTATTATTGATAGACCATTGAAAGACACCACAGGCAGGTGATTGAGATCGACCGCTAACCGATTGAGCTTCAGATCCATCAGGTGAAGGGATCGGAATCAATGCAGGTGAAAGGAATCCTTCGGTACGTCTGTTGATTCCGATCAAAGGTGGTGGTGGACAAGTGAGTGAGAGAGATGGTTTGGGTTTCCCTAACTTTCCTGGTGATGATCTTTTAGGTGAAAGGTCTGTTGGATTAGAAAATGACATGGTTGGAAAAGAAATTCTGATTAGTAAACGTCTCATCATCGGTGTTGAATTGTAGAAAAAAAAGTTAAACAGGAAAACAAAAAACCGTCAAGAAAACCAAAGCTGAGACGTTGAATTTTACTTACTTTTAATTTCAGAAAGAGGCATCTTTAATGAAGTTTAGGATCCGTTTCAAAATTGTGTAAATCTCCGATAATGAACGGTTGGAAATCGATAATGGAAAAAAAAGACTATTAAATCCAAGAAGCAAGCTAAATGACCAAATTGCTCTGTGTGTGTGAATTCTAGTGGATCAGGATCTTGTAATCGTACGAAGAAAGTTGATAATCCTTGAAAGAGACAAAGAGAGAGTCAAAAAAAACTCAATCTGTGAATAATAGTCGTCCAAATAAAAATGAAAAGTAAAGGATAAAGTGTTAAGTTAAAATAAAACTGTCTGTCACAGAAAAGTAAAAATGAGATTTGAATCTAAAACCTGAGAAAAACAAAGGGTAGGAGTTTAGAGCACAAGATCTCGATGAAAAGAAAGAAAAAAAATGTGAGGTTTTTTGTGGAAATTTGAAATGGTGAAGTAAACTTTTAATGTGAAAGATGTAGAAGTACAAAATCTAGGTGAGGAATTGCTTGGTTTATATATCCCGAATTGATGAAGACTCCAAATGAAAAGATTGTTAGGTTCTAATTGACTGAAAGGTTCTTTAGTTAATTCGAAATCTAACTCCACACCCATCCTATCACTACTCTCTGTCCTGGTGCCTGATCGTACTTTGATCTTTGATTTCTCAAATGAGTTAAGGAACCGAATAAAGGTATTGAACAGGTCCGGACTAAAAACCTTTGAGAAAAAAAACTCTTCAATTGATGATCTTTATCTTGACCTTGTCCTTTTGCATGTCGACCATCAAGTTGCTTCGTATTTCGGAATCTAGGCCAGAAGAATGGACAAACTTGTAAAGCTATTTAACAAGTTCTCGCATGGAGCTTTCTAGACGCGCGCAGTACATGTAGCTGAATACGGGGGTCATCCAGACAATCATCAAAGAAACTGAGAGACTCGAGTGGTGTTTAAGCTTAGTTGTGATTCAAACCAGCATTTCTTCATCTGCTCAAGTTGGTACATGAGGCCAAAGCGAGTCAGGTAATGTGTTGAAGACGAGGTCTTGATCACCTTCTGAACAGCTCGATGCGCATTGATCGGAAGGTTGATGGCTCGCAGACTTTTCTGAAATTCTTTGACAATTTTTAATTGATGTGAAGGTTTTATTCTAGCGTTAAAGAAGTTCAAATGATGATCAGATGTCTGAAAGCGAAGGATGAATGAAACATCGAAGGGTGATCGAATGGTGAGGATACCGTATCGGTATCGGTATCGGTACAGTACCGTGTCAGATTAAAGTTGAACTGAAACTCCAAATTGAATTTTAACAAGTCACAAGAATGGAAACGACTTCTGCTTCTCCTCCGAATCCTGGAACCTGAAAGTCAAAAAGCAAAATGCAAACCCATCAACAAATTACTTATCGTCAATTCCATTCCAATACAATAGGACCACAGTCAGTCAGTTCAACCAATCAATCTCCTTCTAAACCTTGCTACTCAATTATCTTCTTACATACTTGATTTGATTCTGTGTGACTTTGAAATATCAGACATCCATTACGAGTCATTGCTCATTGTGATATTGTAAGACCCAAGAAATTTTTTGAATTAGATATGATATTGAAGAGATATAAGAAGTTTTGATTTGAAGTTTGGATGATGGATGGGGTTTGTAGGATGCTGCTTATGCTCAATTCGAACAAGTCAGATTAAAGATCGCACCTGAAAAACCATTAGCAGTCCAACAATGGAAAGGATGTAAGTGAACAACAAATCTTGTAAAAAAAAAGAAACAAGTCAAATAACTAAAACAAAACCCTTCTTTTGGTTTTGGTCTTGATTTTTGATTTTGATTAGTGATTGCTGTAAATTATCCAGCTAGAGAATTTGGGATCACAAGACATCTACCATTTGATGAAGCATTAAAGAAATGTCCGAATTTGATATGTGTTCATGTAGCGACCTATGCACAAGGAGATTCCGAAACCGAAGCTAAATATCATGAAAACCCAAAACCAGAGACACATAAGGTAATTCTGAACCCAAACTTTGAATCATTGATCAACTTATTATAAGAAGACTGACGGGAAAAACTTGATATTCTTTGTGGGGGGCGGGGCGTTTCGAAATACATAGGTTTCATTAGATCCATATAGAAGAGAATCAGTTAAGATTCTCAAAATCTTTTCTGAAAGTTGTGATTTAATAGAAAAAGCTTCAATCGATGAAGCTTTTTTAGATTTCTCAATTCCAGTTCGAGATATACTTATCAATCGTTATTCAGATTTACTTTCAACATCAAAGACTAACAACTTGGATGATTTCTTACCACCTCCACCTCAATTGGATTGGAAATCTACAGAACATAATCTTATTTTAAATACATCTGATTCAGAAGTGGATGAGATGATGACGACTACTTGGACAGATGTAGCGTTAATGATTGGTGCTGAATTGATGGCTCAGTGTCGGAAAGCTGTCTTTGATCAATTAGGTTATACATGTTCTGCTGGAGTGACGTCTAACAAGGTATGTCAATTAAATCTTTTCTTCAACATATCATCCTACTTGAACTGAGATGGATTTGTCTAATCGACTTAAAATTTCAGATGCTAGCCAAACTTTGTTCGTCCTACAAAAAACCAAACGCACAAACCGTTCTCAGACCATCCTGTATCAAATCCTTCTTACGCGATTTAGAAGTTTCCAAAATCCGATTCTTAGGAGGTAAACTAGGTAAATCATTAATCGAACTGATTCACCATCCTTCTCAAGCAACAGCAGCAGAAGAAGAAGCAGAAGAGTCAATTCGAACTACTGTAGGAGAAGTATGGAATTTAGATTTAAGTTTGTTACAAAACAAATTAGGTGATGAGACGGGAATGTGGGTTTGGGAGATTGTGAGAGGGATTGATAAGACTGAAGTGGAACCGAAGACTCAGGTGAAGAGTATGATGTCGTCTAAAAACTTTCGTCCTTCGATATCGAGTTGGGAAGAAGGAGTAAGTGACCTAAGATGGATCTCATTGTCACTTTGTTTTTGCTTTCGAAAGATGGATCTAGTTGATTGATGGTTAGGAATTGGGTTGGTTTAGATTCATTGGTTAAGGATCTTATCTACTGATCTGTTGGCTCGATTAAATGAAGCTAGAACTCTAACTCCAGGCATATGGGTAAGTCTTTCATCGATACATTGATGGATCTTTGAACTGACGATATTTGAAGTGGTAAATCATCCATCTGTTTAAAAAGCCTAAAACGATCGTGATGCATAAACGAGATGGGAATTATAATTCGACAGCTAAACAGATTGGATTCCCATTTACACAGAAATTAGATCGATTGTATATTTTTAATTTAGGACAAAGACTTTTACAAGAGTTTGTGATCAAGGAGAATTCAAAGAAGAAAGAGTTGGGTAAGATTACAAGTTTGTGTCTTGCTTTTCAAACTCTTGAAAGACTTGAAAGTGGTCAACAAGGGATTGAAGGGTTTTTTAAACAGGATAAAGGAGTAAAGGATTTCAGTAGGTTGCTGAAGGATGGAGCTGGACAGTCATTAAGGAATGATCCTCAACAGGGTTCTGAACTTGGAAAAGAGTCGAAAGAAGAATCAGTTAAACTTCAAGGCAGTTCATCAACCCTAAAACTTAAACCCGAAGGAGTCTTGACGAATTTCTTTAATCCACCTAATCCTACAACACTTTCTAAATCCAGATTGGAATATAAATGTGATAGATGTGAAAAGATGATCAGATTAGAAACCCGAGAAGAATGGAAAGAAAGTCAAGAAGAAGAAGAAGAAAGGTTTCATAAGTTGAAGGTTGAACATTCTGATGAACATTTTGCAAAAGATTTGTGGAATGAAGATCGGAGGGTGGGTCCTGAAGAAGAAGAAGAAGAAGAACAGCCTAAGAAAAAGATGAAGGTTAGAAAGAATGAAGAAGCAGATGAAGAAGATGAAAGTAAGATGAAGAAGATTAAGAAGAAGAAGAAAGGAGGAGGGATTGATTTGTTTTTTAAACCTGTGGGTGAAAGTTCTGGTAGGGGTCAAAAATGATAGGATTTTAATCTTTCTGGTTGGGATCATATTGATTTGGATTTTAAAAGGATCATTAGATGAGAACTCACTCTGTATGTATCTATACTTGTCTTGTATTTTTTGTTCCTTTCCTTTGAATGGATTGTGAAAGTCAACAGTTTTCTTGGATTTGTATCAATTTTATTAACCAGATTAAATCCTCAGTTTCTGGACATATCAAAGGAGTGTTTTTTTTGTTCATGGTTGTTAAGTTTTGTTATTAGGAAGTTTGGTTTTGTGTAAAGTATATTGAGTTTAAAGTGATTTGTTAATGTAGTAATCTATGAATCTGATGGATGATGGTCAAGAAGATTTGCAATTTGGGAGGATGTTTCAAATATTTATGAATCACCATTGATGTTATAAGACTGTGAAGCAATGGTCTGATGGTCTAAGTTGAGTTATTGGATTTGGTGATGATAAGAATGTTCTGGAATGAGTTTATGTAATCGATTCTATCAGAAAGCTTTAAAAGAAAAATAAAAATATTGCTGAGCTGGCAAAGTTCACTTTACTTTCAGTCATCACCATCAACTACCACCTAATCAAATTCAGAGATCATGAACATCAAAAAAGAAAAAGAACATCAAACACAATCAGAAACACAAACAGAAACAGAAGAAACAGAAAACCAATCAGTCTCAATATTACCACTACCACCACCATTACCACCTAGAACACAAACACCTTCATCCACTTTTAAATCTCATTCAAATCATTCAAGCCATTCACATTCACATTCACATTCACATTCAATCTCACAATGGGCTATCAATCATTTCTTACCTAGTTCTACTTCCACTTCAAATTCAACTTGGCCACCTGATGAATGGTTTGAACCTTATTCTCCAAAATCAAATCATCATTCACCTACTTCTTCAATCACCACTAGTACTTCAACACCTTCTAGTTCTTATCCAAATGAACTTGTTCAAACTACAACAAACTTACCTCGTAGACGATTACCACCTAAACCATTTAATCTATCACAAGATAAACCTATTACTAATCGAAGTTTATCTCCACTCTCTTCTTCAATCTCAAAGATTAATATCAATTCAGATCATCAGCCAACCGAACCAACAAATCATTCAGATTCATCTACCACTACTAATCATACCATCATCATGGATTCACCATCAAATACCATCTCATTAGCACCTATCATTCACTCATCTCATACTGATTCTCAAATCAATACAGTCTCATCACCATCACCTTTACATTTATCTCAAACTCACTCTAATCTTCAGGTTCCAAACGATCAATACTTCATAATGGAGTCACCAACTAACACAATCTCATTGGCTCCCCTTCAATCAGAACAATCAACTCATGAGGCTTCATCCGATCAACATTTCGTAATGGAGTCACCAACAAACACAATCTCATTGGCTCCCCTTCAATCAGAACGATCGAATTATGAGACTCCATCCGATCAAAACATTCTAATGGACTCACCAATGAACACCATCTCATTGGCTCCCCTTCGATCAGAACGATCTGAGTCAAACACATCACTTTCCTCAACCTGTTCACCTTTGATGGAATCACCCACAAATACCACTTCATTAGCACCTACCATCCAAACTGAACCATCTCATGAAACCAATCAATCCACCCATCATCAACCCGATCTCACAAACCAAACACCACCCGTAACACCCACGATACCTAATCTGATCCACTCGAGACCTTTACCTTTATCACCACCTAATCTGACTCCTCTTACAACACCTTCTACTCCTTCTTCTCTTAATCAATCTTCTAGACCTATCCATGGTTTTCAGCCTCCACCTGTACATCCAGATCTAAGACCTTCCACTCCATCTTCTAAACACGTCTTTCATCCTCCACCTTTACATCCAGATCTAAGACCTTCAAAGACCGTTAAAGAAACTCTTGATGCTCATCTCTATCGTTCTCATGATGGACATCGTCAAGTCAATCAATACATTCTAAAACATGGTATGTCCTAGCACTCTACCTTCTTTGTGATTCAGAACATTAACCATTGTTTTGGGTTTGGATGTTGGATGAACAATCAAAAAAAGATTTAGGTAGAGGATCTTTTGGTGCGGTTAGATTAGCTGTGGATGCTCAAACAGGTTTAGAATATGCAGTCAAAGAGTTTTCAAAAAAAAGGTTAAAAAGAAAGTTTGGAAATGTATTGGGAGGAGGAGGAAATGAAGGAAATGAAGATGCGCTTCATTTGATACGAAATGAAGTAGCGATCATGAAGAAAGTGAGTGTAGTTTTTTTCATAACTTTCCACCGATTTCTGTATGACTGATCTGTGTAATGGGTGAATGATAGGTTCAACATTCTAATATAGTGAAATTGTATGAAGTCTTGGATGTAGAAGGTGAAGATAGTTTGTATATGGTCATGGAATTTTGTAGAGGAGGTCGAATTGAAACTGGAATTGAAGATCATGAGTTGATTAGACGTTATTTTCGTCAGTTGATCATTGGAATTGATTATTTACATCAAAATGAGATCATTCGTTCGTAAACGTTTCATCTGTTCTTTTCACCCCGAACCCCCCCCAAAAAGAACTCAAATCACATTTGAATTAATGGAATTTTTTTGGAATCTCAACAGATCATGATATTAAACCGGATAATATTTTATTATCATCTGATCGTAAACAAATCAAGATTGTCGATTTCGGGATCTCTGCTCTTTTCGAATCATCACATCAATCACAACCACAACAACCCAGATTGATTGGAAGTCCAGCGTTTTTGAGTCCTGAACTACTTACTGGTAAATCATCCGGTGGAACTGAATCTGATATTTGGGCTATGGGTCAGTGAGTTAACTTTATGTTTTTTTGATCAAGTTTGGGGGTTCTGAGGATTGATTGGGTTTTTTTTTTGGGATGGTTGAATGATGAATTAGGTGTGACACTTTATTGTATGGTTGAAGGAAAATTACCGTTTGGTGAGAAAGGTGAAGCTTTAGATTTGTATCATCAGATTCAAGAAGAAGCGTAAGTGTTTTTTTTGAAATCATTCAATTCAACCGAACCCTCAAAGAAAACTAACTGAGTTTGAAATATGATTTTTTGTTTGTTCGTCTTTGTTGACCCTTGTAAAGTCCATATATTCCAGAAACATGGGATCCAAGATTAATAGATTTGATAGCCAAGATGTTAACCAAAGATTCCAAGAGTCGAATAAATTTACAAGAGATTTCAAGTCATGTTTGGATAACTGATTCAGGTAGATTAACGAATTTGAAGTTATTGAATGGATCATCATCATCAAACAATCAAAAGATTAATAAAAACCATTCGGAGGTCGAGTTGAGAGAGTGTTTGAAGATTGGACTGACGGATCAGTGTGAACGGTTTAAGGAGATTGTGGAGAGTAGTTTGAGGATTGGGAGAGGGAAACGGAAAGAGTTTTTGTGAGTGAATCTTTCATTCTTTTTTTTGGGTTGACGGGGTTCTTTGGGGGGGAAAGGAGTGACTGATTTGGTTTGATTTTTTGGGGGATTGGGGTATTTATAGTAAGGAGTTTTATAGACTTTTAGGTGAGAAAAGTGTTTTGATGATTGAGAAACATCATCATACTTCTTCGAAATCGTGAAATGAAGATGAAAATGGAGAAAATTTATATAATATGTGAGTTCGGAGTAATGAACTGATTTATTCTTTTGTAGAATCTCTTTTTGATAGTTAATATTAACTTTTTTGGGGGTTTTTTGGTTTTTTAGATCTGATTGAAGGTTTCTTGGTATTTCAAAGAGATTGAAATGTAAGAAACAAAAAAAACTCGATGAACATTTTTTATAATGAAAAAGATTTGTATTAGAAAATCGAAAATGATTTGATTAACCAAAGAAAAAAAAATACGTGTGTAGGATTAGGTTTGGTTGGAAAAAAAGGATTGGGGTTTTATATATGATTTTTAAGAAGAAGAACAAGAAGAAGAAGAAGAAGAAGAAGAAGGAGAGGGAGTTGGTTTGATTTGAACTATTATATATATTTTAAATACCAAATACCAAAAACCAATCATTTAAGATTAAGATTTTTGATTTTTGATTTTTGATTTTTGATATTATTCTATGCATTTTTTTTTAAAAGTTTTGAAAGTTTTGATAACATCAATTTTTAACTTGGAGAGTTTTTTTTTTTTTTTTGATATTTCTTGTTGATTTGGTATAAATTTTATTTTATGAATATTTTTGATTCTCAATTATGTACAGTCAGTCCAGATTTGCTTGACGAGTCGAATTTTTATTATTATTGTTACACAGCAATACAGCTATCTTATAAGCATATGTTTATAAGTTTACTGAATTTCAAGCTGGTGCTGTTGACCAAATCGGAACAGCCCTCAGCTAGATTACCATCACCACCTCCCTTTCATCTTTGATCAACTTCCTACCACTGTTTCAATTCCCAATTCCCAATTCCCAATTTATTCCTGAATGCCTGCTAGACAAACCAGAAAAGAACGCGACAAAGAAGACGCCAATCGAAGAGAAGAAGCGTAAGTCCCTGGAAAACCTTTCGTTTCCTCAATTTCACTGAACTAACAACCGATGTCCTCTTTAGTGCCATGAGACGTGCAAGGCAGGCTGATCGAGGTGGTCTCAGCCCTGCGCGTGGCTGGGGTGGCACCCCTTTCTATCCCGAAAAGTAAGCGATTCTTTTGAATCCATTTCATTTGAGCTTTTGATCACTGATGACCTTGAAACCGGTTTTCTAGACCCGGTCACCACTGGGAAAATGTCCAGTTTGGACAACGCAAGTATCGCGATATTGAGCTTATACACATGGATTACTCACGTCCGCAAGGTTCGCAGGCGTTTCTATGTCGCCTTCATCCTGCTTGTAAGTCATGTCATCAATTTCCCTCCCCTGTCTTTGCCTGAATCGTTCCAGACAAAGCTGATTCTTGAATGATTCACTCTTAGCTCAACCGACTCCAGGGCCAGAGCCTAGTCACCGAGACCCAATGCTTGGCCAAGCTTCTGGACAGCAAACTCAAGCTGAAAGTTTGCCAGGTAAGTTGTTTCTCTTACTAATCAAAAATCATGCCAAAGAACTAAGCTGAGATCTCTTTGACTGTAGTTCGACATTGCCATGTCGATCTCACCTGTTCCCCCAGTCCCCCTCCACCGCCAGCTCAACAACCTGAGCCAACGCTTGCGGAAATGGAGAGAAATAAACCAATGCGAGCAAAACTTGGATTTCACGTTTACATCCCAAATCCGCTCACTCCTGCCGACAAACGATCTGGAACGCCTCAAACTTACATCGATTACAACACCACCAAGGAGCCATTCGATATCCTGGTTCAAGTTCATGGGGTCCCACTCCAGAGCTTGAAGGATGCGCTCTTTCAACTTTGCGACCAACACAAGAAGGCATGTGGACGTCTACTCAAGCTCGCTGACCAACATGGTCAGGTGATTTTAAAAGGATATGTAAGTAATGGTGGTGTTTTTGGCAAGTCACTTATGCCGGTAATTGCAAACGAAACAAATTTCAACGATTTCAAGAGAATGGTGATCGACAAGACTGGAAAAGAGATTGGTTTCCGTATTTTGATGGAGAACCCAAAAAAGGTAGCACGTACCACCTCCAAAGTAAGTCACACCTTTCTTTTTGCCTTTCTTTGATTGACTCTAACATGTTTCTTGATTTACCTACCAAACAGGAAACCCAATTCGATCAAGCTTTGGTCCATGTTGATCCTGATGCATTGGATTCGGCTCGACATGATGAGCTTGAGATGGATGTAAGTAAAGTTCTATCTAATTATGCTTTGACATGTATACTGATTGATCTGCTGGAAAAGACCATCGGAGTTGCCTCAACTTTCCAGGCTATACGAACCCAGCTGATGGTCAAGTATGGTCATGCTTCAATTGTTGGAAAGGAATGCATGGGATGTGTCAACCCCGGCAATCCTACCCAGGCGATGCACCTCAGCCACGCTTCAATGGACATCTGGGCAAAAGCGATAGTAAGATTTCACTTCTGTCTTTCTCCAAAGTCATCAGCAATATTGAATTGACTTGAATCAATTTCAAATAGGTTGCAAAGGTTCCAGGTGTCAGTATAATGAAACCTCCTCATGGACCTGAATTCGTCTGGTTGCCCATCAGCAATTCGCAAGGAAGATCCCAACCGTTCTGGCCTGCACCACCAGCTCAATCCACTTCCCAACCCCCTCCCTATACCAGCGTCCCCATAACCAATACCCGATCAGATTCACCTGCTCCTAGACCTCTTCCACTATTTGAAAGGTTTCTTGAATTTGCCTCAATTGACCCGAATGATCAAAGAACTCGAGATGCTTTGATATTGAACGATTTGGTAAACTTTGAGATGTTTTTGTCCCATCACCTCAGTATCGAGAAGTTGGAATCGCTTGGGTTTGCTTTTGGTCCCGCTCTGCGTCTCCATGAGAACGCACCTTTGTATCGAGATCATCTCAAAAACCCAACCTTCTAATAGGCTCTCACCGCTCAAAATAAATGTACTGGATCATTATGTAAACATTGTATTATTCAAGTAGCCACAGTACACTACGATATCTATTAACTGTTTTCTCTTCATATCATCTCTTCAGTTGTATCTCTAGTTGTATCTTCAGCTTATTTAGTAATGAAAATTTGTTTTTTAGTGCAAAAACAAGTTCCTCAAGCAAAAGTGCACAACAAGCACAATAATGAGGTACTTATGCCGTTGCTCACGCCTTTTACGGTCTTTGTAAAAGGGTAGATTTACTTTAATAATAATTTCTTGTTTCCTTGCACCCTTTTCTTTTTCTCTCTAGTAGCGTTTTCTTATTTTGTCTTTTACTCTCACTCGCGCCTTGAGGAGACACACGGTAAAAAAATGTTTAAACTGAAGAAGCATTTTGCCATGACAACTTTCTTCAGCTAGCATATCTTTGATTTCTTCAAACTAGTTAGTGTATTTTACAATGACACGACTTTTTCTTATCAGATGTAAGACTAATTTATTTCATACATTTCTTGGCCTATATCCACCAGTTATGTATAAGCTAGTAATGAACGAACTGGTGCATATATCACTCATGACCCTCATCATACATTCCAATTTATCAATAGCTTCAGCAAAGAGCCCGTTTCGACGAAGGGTGTCCTTGAAGACCTTGAAAGTTTGTTCGATTGGGTTAAAGTCGGGGGAAAAGGGTGATAAATACACTAAAAGTACTCCTGCCGCCTCACATAGCGCTTGAATCCCTCCACGGCGATGGATGGTGGCGTTATCCATTACCAAGACAGAATTTCGGTTTGGGTAAGGCTGCATGACAGGAAGCTTTGACAGGAAGTTTGTCAGCTTACTATGATTGGTCACATCTAAAGAAAATAAAACAAACACACCAGGACATGTTTCAAGAATGCCTGGAATTCATCTTGACAGTAACCATCAACTTTTGCGTTCACTGCCAACAGACCCATCTCACATATCGCAGCTAGCACGCTGTAGTGACGCCCTGCCCTTGTACGCTTCAATGCCTTTGGTCTTTCGCCTTTCTTTGACCTGACACGATCATGTTCCACATCCTGCGGTCGAAGACCCGATTCATCTAAATGGAGGTTAGAAAACATTAGAATCAGTATGACATCCTCTTAAACAAAGAGAAGATGACAATGGACACTCACCTAGGAAGACTAGGAACTCGGGTGGCATGTGGCAGATCTCACCGGAGTAGGCTGCTCGGAGTTCAGGTGATTGATTGATATCGACTTTTGATGCTTTGTGAACGGTAAGAAAAAGGCGTTCTTTCAGATCGTTCGCAATAGTTTGACGACAAGCAAGTAGATCGGTGTGATCGTACATTGCTTCTTGAACCTCATCCAGGAATAGAGTCGGATCAGCCTCGATAAGTTCAATCATAAAATCTCGATCATTGTCAGTGTAGAGAGTGTGACGGCCTTGTCGTTCGTAGGTTTTTGGATCTCTGACTACCGCATGAGTACGGTTGTACAGATTCTTCCATCGTAA